ATTTATTAAAATTTCAAAGCACTAACACTCTTTTTTTTTTTATATTAATTTAATATACCAATTATACAAATAACAATAATAATAAACACAAAAAAATATTAACACCACCCACACAATGAAAAATTTTTTTTAAAATTTTAAAAAATTTTATTGTTATTTATTTATTTAATTTATTTATTAAACACAGTAATAATAGTAATATTAAAAAAACTCGTAGATATACAACCAACGGTCACAACATACATTTTCTATTTCAACAGGAGCAAGGTGTAGGAATTAATTATAAAACAGGGCCAATTAAATTATCAGAAGCAGATAATAGTGGTGGTAGTAGTAGCAGTAAAGAAAATACAACAACTTTATCAATATCAAGTACAGAGACAAATAATTTAATAGCTTCTACCAATAGCTACTTTACACCAGCATCTAAAACCAAAACTAAAACAACAACAACAACCACCACCACTACCACCTCAACATCTACAAATTTTAATTCATTAAATAATAATAACACAAATAGAGTTTTTACAAGAAGTAGATCTAGGTCATTAAATATCTCAAAATCAAATACATCTTCACCACCTCTTCCTTCAATTCATAATATACATAATAGTAGTGGAAATATAATAACAGTAGTTCCAAACAATAGCTATAGCTCATTAAATAGTAATAATAGTAATAATAACATTAGCATTAATAATAATAATAACACTAGTTTAAACAGTTTATCTTCAACATCTACATCCTCTTTAACACACTCATATTCAAATTCAAGTGCATCATCAAGTACTTCAAACTCTAGCAATAATTTACAAAATAATTTAAAGACTAGTAGTGATTCTAATAAAATTCAAGGTAGAAAGTCAAAATCAAGTAACGCACTATTTAAATCATTAAATCTTAAAGCATTATCAAGTAGTAGAAAAAGATCTTCTTCAATTTCATCCTCTGCATCACCTGAAGCTTTATCGAGCTCCACAACAGAAACAACAAAAGAGTCTAAAAAAGATAAAAAAGATAAAAAAGATAAAAAATCAAAATCACAACCACAACCACAATCTCAACATTCAAGTACTGAGTCATTACAATCACTAACTGATAGTTGCACAACAACAACAAATATCAGTAGATCATCAACCCCTCCACTATATAGATCATCAAAACTATCCAATAGTAAAACTTCACCACCAAAAGAAAATCACAACAAAAATATTCTAGAAGTTTCGTCAGAATCTTTAAAACCATCACCAAAACCAATTGATAATAATAGTATAACTTTAAATATAATAAAAGAAGAAGACTTGTATAATAGTAATAATAATCAAAACGAAGAAAATAATTTTAGCTACGAATATAACAACGACCAATACGAACACGATAATAATTTAATAAATAAATTAACAGATCAATTAAAAGAAGATCCATTTTTTGTAGATAATAATAGTGCAACTGTAAATAATAATAATAATCAAGCTGCTGCAGCACCAAAAAGACCACCTCCATTACCTCCAAAAAATTTTAAACCATCCTTTTCAAGAAGCAATAGTAATATGAATCCTCCAACACCACCGATCTCAACCTTATCACCAAATTATAGTAATAGTAATCGTAATAGTTTTAATAGTTTATTTAAAAAATCTACAGGTAGTAGTAATTATAATATTTATCCACCAAGCGAACCAACATATCCATCAGAATCTAGCTCAAAGAGATCATCAGTTGAATTAAAATATTTAGAAGATAATCACAAATATCAATTAATAGATAAATTAGGTAGTGGCACATTTAGCGACGTTTATTTATGTATCCATAAAGAGAATAAAAAGCAATATGCTGTGAAGATTATTGACAAGTCATTGGTGCAAATGATAGCGGCACACACAAATATGGAAATTGCAACCGAGGTCAACATACTAAAATCATCATTCCATCCACACATTATTCAAATGGCTGATCATTTTGAAACTGAAATGTATTATTATATTGTAACAGAGTTACTTCAAGGCGGAGAATTATTATATCAATTAGAGCATAATCATACTGTAACTCCTTCATCATCTTCATCATCAATACCCCCACCACCACCTCCTCCATCATCCACAAACGAAGCAACCAATTATACAGAGGAACATGCAAGACAAATTATTAAACAAATTGTTCAGGCAGTTGGATTTTTACACTCAAATAAAATTGTACATAGAGACTTAAAACCAGAAAATATATTGTTTAGAGATCGTTCAATGGGTTCTATATTAAAGATTATTGACTTTGGTTTGGCCTCTTATGTCTCAATGATTGATGGTGATGTCGAGTCCATTGAGCCTTTGATCGATGTTTGCGGCACACCAGAATTTCAAGCACCAGAAATGGTCAAACGTTTAGGTTACTCTTTTCCAGTCGATATTTGGGCCACTGGTATTATATTATACATTTTACTATGTGGTCACCCACCATTTCAAGGAAAAAATAATATGGCAATTATGAGCCTTATCATCAAGAGTGAATTAAAATTCGACTCTCCAGGATGGGATAACGTTTCCGAATCTGCAAAAGATTTAATCAAACAAATGTTGAATCCAGAACCATCTCAGCGTTTAACAGCTGGACAAGTTCTACAACACGAATGGATACAATCCCACGATAATAACAATAGCTCTCCTCAATTGGGTGCTTTCTCAAGATTAAGAAGATACAACTCTCAACGTTTCTTTAAACAAACTGGTGAATCATTATTAAAGTCCCAAAGATTTTTTGTATATTCACCTGAAAAGGAATTAATCAAAAGAAGGAGCATTAATTTATAACCCACACACTTTCCAATTATAGTAATAAACATTCAAAAAAAAAAATAATCTTTTTTTTTTTTCATTTTTCATTTAATAATTAAATTACTATTTTTTATCTATTTTTATTCCATATTGTTTAAAAATAACCCCTCTCCCTTATTTATTTATCTGGTATGCAAATAAAACACAACTCATATAATTTTTTTTTAATTTTTTTATTTTTTTTTTTATTTTTTAAATTAAAAATTTTTTTTTTTTTTTTTTTTTTAATTTTTTTTTTAAATTTTTTTAAATTTTTTTTTTTTTTCTTTTTTTTTATTTTTTTTAATTAATTTTTTTTTAGAACAACAATAATAATTATCTTTTTTAATATCTTTTTTTATTTTAGTAAATTATAAAAAAAGGGGCAATTAATTGGTTTTATACTTTTTTTTTTTTTTTTTCCACTCCCTATATATAAATTTTTATATTTATATTAATATTTGTTTTAAAATTTGTGTGTAAATATATTATTTTTTTTTTCAAATATTTGAAAAAAAGATTTAAAAATTATGAATTCAGCAACTGCAACATCACCAACCATCACCAATTCAAATATAAATGAAATACCAAATGATTTAAATGGATTAACAGTATCACAGTTAAAACAATTATTAACAGCTAGAGGTTTACCAATTACCGGAAATAAACAAGTATTAATTAAAAGATTAGAAAAGATTAAAGAAGTTCTTAATGAAAAAGAGACAAATGAGGAAGAGGAGGAAGAAGAGGAAGAAGAGGAGGAGGAAAATAAAACTGAGGGTGAAAATGGAGCATCATCTACTACTACAAATGCAACAACTACCACTACTACACCCCCACCACAAATCGCTTCACCAAATACAATTTCTAGTCCAACTACTACAACCACAACAACTACAGCTATAGCAGAGAATGGAAATTCTACCAAGGTTAAAAAGAGAAAGAGTGGTAAAAGTCCAAAGAGTGCTGCCAAAGTAAAAGAGCAATTAAAAAAGAAACAAAAAAAACAAAAGAAAGATGATGAAGAGCTTGAAGACGATGATGAAGAAGAGGAAGAGGAAGAAGAAGAAGAAGAAGAAGAGGAAGAAGAGGAAGGTGGTGAAGATGAGACCATTCAAGAAGAAACCAACAATACTATCGCAGGTTCGGCTGAAGAAGAAACCGAACAACAAGAGGAAGAAATGGAGGAATCCAACGAACAAGATGAACAAATCGATGACAGTTATGAAGAGAACAACGACAACAATGAAAACAATACAACCGAAGACCAGGAATTAGTTAAAGAATTATTAGGTGGAAATCAATATTCAGATGATGAAGATTCATCAAATACAAATGCAACAACCACAACATCACACTCCTTCACCAAAGGAGATGAAAAGAATAAAATTAAAAATGAAGAAGATTTAAATTCAGCAGATGTCGATGCAGATATTGTAAATAAAGCCATTCAAGAAGCAGAAAAAGCTGTAAATGAAAAAATGTCATCAGAAAAAAAGAAGGAGGATTCACTTGATAAAAATAAAATTCAACAAGCAATCACTGATATGGAAGAGTCTTTTAAAAAGAAGCCATCAATCCGTGTAGCTGGTCTCAATGATTCATTAACTGAAAAAGAATTAAAAGATGCTCTGGCTGAACATGGTAAAGTTCATACATTCACCTATGAAAGCCCAAAAAAAGATTCTGCTATTGTTCAAATGGAAAATTATCAACAGGCAAAAGAAAAGCTTAGCGGTACCAAACTTAAAAACTGTACATTAACTATAACTGAAATACCACTTGCCGATTCACTTTTATTTGTTGGTAATCTAGGTTTTGAAATTACAAAAGAGCAACTAAAGAAAATATTTGAAAAATATGGAGATGTCGATAGAATTATTGTAAGTAAATTATATTTAATTTCATATATATCATACCACCAAAGTAAAATTTTAAATTATTAACATTATATTTTAAATTTTAGATAATGAAAAGTAAAAGAAGTGGTGAAAATAAAGGCTATGCATTTATTGATTATAGAACTAAACTTCAAGCAAATTCAGCTAAAACATCATTGGGATCATTTTCATTTAATCGTCGTACAATTAGAGTGGATTGGGCTGAAAATTGTAATAGTTTAGAATCATTACATTCAAAGACCATATTTGTTGATCGTTTACCAAGATCATTTGCCGATATTCCAATTTTAAAGAAATTATTTAGTCCATTTGGTAAAATTAAGGATTGTAATGTAGTTCCAAATCAATATGGCCAACAAAGAGGTTTTGCATTTATTGATTACACAACCGTTGATGAGGCTGAAAAAGCTCAACGTTTAATGAACGATAAAGATCTTCGTGGTTATAAAATTAGAGTAAACTTTGCAAATCCAGCCAAAGCAGGCCATATTTTGATCAAACCACAAGCACAATCTAGAAATGAACATAAAGGTGTCCAATCAAACAGAGGTAGTGCACCAACTAGAGGTGGTATTTCAAGTAGAGGCGGTGCACCAGGAAGAGGTGGTATATCGGGTAGAGGAGGCCTTCCAGGTAGAGGCGGCGCATCAGGAAGAGGTGGTTTACATGGTCATCATGGTGTACCACCACCACACCATCACCATCCACATCACCCAACCAGTGCTTATGGTGGCTATCCAAATATTCCACCAATTTCAATGGTCCCAAATCATCCAGGTTTCCCACCAGCTCATTACAATGATCAAAGATCGGGTGGATTTGGTGTTGGTGCCAGTAATTATCCACCACATATGAATCATTCACTTGTTCCTCCCAACGCCAATAACCGTGGTGGTCCAAATAGTAATTTAAATCCAATTATGTCTCCTGTAAATCAAAGCAATATTGCTCAAAATTTCAATCAACAAAATACATTGAAGCAACAACAACAACAAATCAACCAATATCAAGATACTATACAAAAAATGCAAGAAAAAATAAATTCTCAACAAAATGCTTTACTTAGAGTCCAAAAAGAAAAACAACTGGCTTTAAAACAACAACAACAACAACAACAAGCTGCTGAAAAAGAAAAACAAAGAAAGCAACAAGAGGCTCAACAACAAGCTATTCTTAAACAACAACAGCAACAAGCTGCTGCTGCCGCTGCCGCTGCCCAACACCAACATCATCACCACCATCAACCACCCCAACCACAGCATCATCAATCCCATCAACCCCATCAATCCCAACAACCACCACAAACACAACAGCCACAACAATATCAACAACATCAACAATATCAACAGTACCAACAATATCAACAACAACAACAACAAACTGCAGCTCAGTATTATAATCAAATGGGTGTTCCTAATAAACAAAATCCAACTGCTACACCAGCAACTCAAAATACTCCAACTGCTGCTAATGCTACAAGTCAAACAAATGCATATGCAAATTGGCAATATTATACACCAGAACAACAAGCTTGGGCTCATTATTATTCACAAAATTCTGTAAGTACCTTACTCAAAATGTTCTATATTAGTTTATAATAATAATAATATTAATTGTTATTTTATTTTTATATTTTTAGCATGCTTATCCTCATTATTCACAAGTAAGAAATATTGTATCTTTTTTTTCTTTTATTTTTATTTTACTAATTTTTTTTTTTTTAAAAATTATAGCAAGATTTAAATGCATACTATGCTCAATTCCAACAACAACAACCAGGTGCAGATACTCAACAAGTTGGTCAAAAAAGAGCTTATGATAATAATACAGGGATGTATAATAATCAATTCAATACACATACCACTCATGGTACTCATCACCAAAATGATAATAAGAGAAATAGACATTAATATTTATATTTTTTCACTATCACTTTTATTATCATAAATTTTGTTTATACTTTCTTTATTTTGCACATCTTTGTTAATATCATCCCCTATTATAAATAATAATAAAAATAATAATATATTAAATAATAATAATAATAATAATAATAATAATAATAATAATAATAATAATAATAATAATAATAATAATAATATAATAATATAATAGTATTTATATTGTTTATTTTGTTTGTGGGCAATCATATTTATAATTTTTATGATAACTCACCTTTTTTTATTTAATAATATTATTTTCTTATTGTTATAAAACCAAAAATTTATATTTTGTCTTTTTTTAAATTTTATTGGTAAATCTTTTAAAAACCCTTTCCGGTAATTTTTACTTAAAAACCAAAAAAAAACTTTAAAAATAAAAAACCCAATAATTTGGTAATCCATCCAAAAAAGGAATATTCCACCCAAGCTTTTAAAAACCTTTCCCTCCATTTAAAAACCATCAAAAATTTGGTTGGAAAAAAAAAAAAAAAAAAAAAAAAAATAAACCACAAAAAAATAACTGTTACATAGAAAATAAATACCAGAAAATAATTATTTTATTATCTTTTTTAAAACTTTATTTTTAATATAAAATAAAATTTTATAAATAATTTATTTTTGTTTATAAACTAATCATTTTGTTTTTTGGATGAATAATACAACAAAATCAAAGATATAAATCTAAAGTAATAGATAAAAAATTCTTTAAAATAATAATTTAAAATAATTTAAAATAATAATTTATAAAAATCATTTAATATAATAATGCTATAACAATAATCTTTGGGGAAAAAAAAAAAAAGAAAACCCAAAAGAATTTATGTTTAACCATTGTAGCAATGATATAATACTAAAATAATAATGGTTTAATTTAAAATCTTCTTATCTATTTTTAAAAAATTTATTATTTGTTAGAATTCAGTTATTATATTTTTTTTTTTTTTGTTTTATTTTTGTTTGGATAAAGAGATTATTTTTATCTTTTTTTTTTTCAATAACTTGAATTGTTTTCGTGTATTTTTAATTGTTTTCTTATTTTATGAATGGACCAAATATTTAATCAAAATAATATCATATAGTTTTAAAAAAAAAAAACCAATTTTTGACAGATAATCATTTCTAATAGTGCAGATTGAATAGTTTTATTTATATAATATTTCTTTCAATTAAAATCATAATTATTATAAAATAATCAAAATACAAAAACTATAAATAACACCAGAACAAAAATAAAAACATTTTTTTTTTTTTTTTAACAACACATATGCATGTTTCTTTTGCATAAAACAAAAAATCTTATAAAGTATCATTAAAAAATAACAAAAAATTGTTATTTTTTTTAATAAAATACAAAATAAAATTGGTGGGGTTTAAACTTTAGGGTGTTTAAATCTCATATTTAAAACATAACGGGTTAAATTTTTTATTTTTTTATTTTTATTTTTATTTTTATTTTTATTTTTATTTTTTTTTGTAATTAAAATATTTAAATTTTATTATTACTTTCATTATTTAATTTATTATTTTATTTTAAACATTATTAATATTAATACTAGTTAAATAGTATCATTAAATAAAAATGAATTATAACAAAAAATCATATAAAGAAATTATTGACGATTTATTTTTAGAATATAAAGCAATTGATAATAAAAAAAAAATGACAATTAAAAACAAAAGATTTAAAAGGATTAGTACTAAACCAAAAGAGTATGACTTCAAATATTTAGAAAATAGAAATAGAATTATAGATTTTATAGAAAAGAATGTTATAAATAGAATTGAACATTTTACAATAGAATTTTTTCAAAAACTGGGGTATAAAGAATATTGTTTCGAACTGGTACCTTATCAAGAGATTATTGACCTATTAATCAACAATATAGAGTCAAACAATCCTTTTATTAGATTATTTGTAATTTTTGAATGGTTTTTATTTCATCAAAACAAAGTTTTCGATTCTTACAAAGATAAATACAATGGAAAAGAATGTGCAAATATTGTAGTTCAGGTATTTTCAGATAAAAGTGAATATGTAGCCTACACTTTGAAATATTTATCTATAGTTTTAGAAAAGGATGGTAGAATAGATGATTCAGAACATAATTATTTAAATTCATTTTTTTTATCAGACAATGTAGGAATAAAAATAAAAAAATAAAAAATAAAAAATAAAAAATAAAAAATAAAAAATAAAAAATAAAAAATAAAAAATAAAAAATAAAAAATAAAAAATAAAAAATTCTAATTAAACTTTTTTTTTAAATAGTTATATAAAATATTTACAATTAAAAAATATCAGTTACATTCAAGACTTTCAATATTGGTTAAATCAAAGTATTTTATTTCTTGTTTACAACATGTCGTTATAAGAAACTCTTCGCAATATAAGCTCATTCAAGTTTTTAAAGAAATTATTACAGAATACAATGATGTTGAAATTTGCAAAAATTTATTAAAAGATTATAATAACCATGATTATGATAATAATATTAGTAATAATAAAATAATAGAAAAGTACAACAAAGATATTAATTGCTATACCAGCGCAAATAATATAAAAAACTATAATAGTTACAATAAATTTAACATCTATATTTTAAATAAAAATAATAGAACCTATAATTTCAATAACTACTACCAAAACAATAGTAATAATAAGAATAACAATATTGATATTAATATCAACTTAAATAATAATAAAAATAAAACAAATAGCTTTAGTAGAAAATTAAATAATATTATCTTAAAAACAATATTTAAATTCCATTTTGAAAAATCAAATCTAAGTAGTTTATTTTTCGATGTAAAGTCTTTAGCTCTAGTTTGCTGGGGGTTCTTCAAAGTTATTCCATCATGTATAATACAAATTAAAGGTTTGGTTTTTCATTATTTCAGTATAATAGACCAGGTTTCATTTCATCCCAAATACTCTTTATTTGTCCATAATCAAATGCCAATCACAACAAACTATCACCATATAATTAAAGTTACACCCTATAGCAAAATTAATAATGTTTTAAATAATATTGAAAAACTAACAATAGAATCACAGAATGATATTTATAGCTTTAAAAATAAATCAAATTTATCAATTAATCATAATATCTATCCCTCAAGCCAAAGCCTATCCAAAGTTTCAAGAATAAAATTAATTAATCATTCAGTTGGTTGTTTCCAAAACAGATTTTTGAAGGGTGTAAATAAAAACCTAATAGATTATATTTTAATACATTGCAATTCAAAAATCACCAAGTTTACATATATAATCAACGACCCCTCCATTCATAGCCATTATTTTTCTTTTGACACTTCAGTAATAGATTTATTAGTTCATTATCATAAATCAACATTACAGCAAATAAAAATATCATTTACAAGGTTTTTTAATGATCAAGATAATGATGATCAAATTTTCAACAACCAACCCATCTCCCAATTGGATGAAAACAATAGTTATTGTAGCTCTATTATAACAAATAAATTTCAATTATATATCCAAAATCTTCAAAAACAAATTTTAAATAGTTTTGATAATAGAATAGATTTATTACTATTTGATAGTAAATTGAAAAAATATAAAAAAATAAATCTAAGTTTATAATATTAATAAAGATAAAATTTTTTTTATTTTTTTAATTATTTTGATTTGGTGTGTTTTATATTTAAGTGGGTAATGCGAAATTTTTTTTTTTTAAAAGTTTTAAATAAAAAAAAAGAGTGCATATAAGTTGGGATGTTTTTATGTATTAGTAAACGGACCCACAGCGGTTGAAGTCACAAATTGTTTTATTGTGTAATGCAGATGGATACATTACAATTACTTACAAACTTGAATTTATCTCCAGGAAGATGGAGACATATATTGTGTATTTGCGCATGCTGGGAATCGAACCCAGTTCGCATCCGTGGCAGGGATGCATCATACCACTAGACCACATGCGCTATTTTATGGAAGTTTAAAAAATGTGCCTCCTCCAGTTTAGTTAACAAAAAAGTGTACTCGTGGATTAAGTCGATCTGAGCTGCATGGGAAAGAGATTTAAAAGCAACAGAACCTTATCGATGAATTAAAAATAAAAATTCAAACCTCATATTTTTGATTTTTTAAACCTTTATATAATTAAAGTCATATTTAGTGTAACCTTTGTTAAAATCTAATTGAAGAAAAAAGTAAAAAATTCGTGATTAAAATTACCCAATTTGGATGATATAGATTATCTTGCCGAGTAAAGTGAACACCAAAATCTTTAATTAAAAATAAAAAAGTAATCTAAAAAAAATTCTAATTTTTTAAAATTAGAATCTATAAAAACATAATTGAAAAGATTATTTATTATGAGAATAATTATAATTTATTCCTGAGAATACCTCCAAGAAAAATTATAATTATAAAAAAATTTTATTTATTTTATTGAGAAAAGTCAGTTGAAGAAGCAACTTCCTAAAAATTTTTAAAAAATAAAGTTAATATATTATTAATAGAGGGTTATTGTAAATTAAAAATTGAATTAAAATACTTACATGGTTTGTTTTAATATCGTTTTGAATTGATTCTATTTTAGATTGGGCATATTTCATGGAATCTGGGCCTAAAAAAAGATGTGTTGATGGGTTTTCAGATAAAGCATGGTCAATAATAACTTTGCAACCTTTTTCTGGATCGCCAGATTGATTACCATTAATTTGACCTTGGTGCATTTCTTGAACATGTCTTACTGCAGTATATTCTTTGATTGGGTTTGCTGGTCCTGCCATTGAATCTTTTTCTAAGAAAGATGTTCTAAAATAACCTGGTTTTACTGATGAAACGTGAATACCAAACTCCTTTAAATCTGCACCAAGACCCTCGGTTAAACCTTCCAAAGCAAACTTTGTTGATGAGTAAATACTACATCCTGGGAATGAGCCAGTAAAACCTGCGATACTGCTTATATTAATAATTCTTGGGCCATTGGCAAAGAACTATTAAGAATAAATATTAATATTTAATACTTTTATTATTTTGTAAGTATGTATATATTTTTTGAATATTTACTTTATTAGTACGTAAATGTGGAAGAGCATTACGAACTACTGAAATGACACCAAATAAATTACATTCAAAGTTATCCCTTACTTCCTTATCTGTTAATTCCTCGATTGTACCAAATTGTCCATATCCAGCATTATTTATAATTACATCAATACGAGTGAATTTAGAAATTGTATCTTCGATTGATTTTTTAACTGATTCATCTGATGTAAGATCTACTTGTAATGGTAAAAAGTTTTCTTCTGTAACTAATTTATTATTGATTACTAATTTAAATATAATTATTTAGTAAGCCAAAGGTAATATTATAAAGTATAAAAAAAAAAAAAACAAATTATTTACCGTTAACTAATTGTTCCTTATTTCTTGATGTTGCAGCGACATTAAAACCTCTTTCAAGTAATTGATTAACTAAAATTAATCCAAAACCTTTGGATGCACCGGTAATATAAAATACTTTTTGATCTTTTTGTGTCATTTTTGTAATAATAATAATATAATTGTTTTTGTTTGAAATAATAAAAAAAATTAAAAAAATTTTATTTAAATAGTTTTTTTTTTTTAATTTTTTTTTTAATTTTTTTTTAATTTTTTTTTTTAAAACTAAAAAAACAAATCATTTGTTGTTTTTTTTTTTTTTAATTTTTTTATAGAATCATTCTTTTTTTAAATTTTTTTAATAACTAATTATTGCATCGAAATATTACAATAAATGGGTTATATTTTTTTTTTTTTTAAATTACATCATTTATAATCATGATTGTATCAATAATAAATATTAAAAGCAATTTTTTACATCTATTTAAATCGGGTGGGAAATAAATACCCAGGATGCTTCATTAAGGAATTAAAAGGTTTTTAAAAGAAAAAGCTTTTTGATAAAACAATATACAAAAAAAGATATTATTAGTATCTTAAATGTACAAAGAAAAAAAAATTAAATAAAAATACACTTTATTTTTTTTATTCATTCATTTTTTATTAAATATTAGAAAATATATAAACAATTTTTAACCCCTATTAAATAATTTTAATTTTAATCGTATTTTATTTAAAAATATTTTAATCCTTATTTTTTATTAGAAAAACTATTATATATTTTATAAAAAAAAAAAACCAATCTCTTTTGTTTATTCATTTTAAATAAAAAAAAATTATACAAATTAAATATAAGAATAATTAATCAAATTCTACCAACTAATTGATTGAAATTATGACATGTATAATAGTGGATAATAGGTACCTTATAGAAGTCAATTTAATACAATGAAGAAATAATAAGAAAAAATAAAGCAGGTAAAGACAATTTTTCCATTCATAAGACCTAATTATTACGTTGTAGTCCTACTTTATGTACAAAACTTTTTAATTTGTACATTAAATTTTTCATATATGACTTATTATTTTACCAAAGTTATCGTTATTCTCGGTTTTTACCAATTATCGTTAGTATATTCATTTAAAAATTATCATTATAATATTTTTACCAATTATCGTAATCATATTCATTTAAAAAAATTTTCATTATAATATTTTTATTTCTTTCAAAAACCATATTGATAAGTCTAATATTATGGTGCTATTTTTCACTTGAGTTGATGTTTTATATTCTCTTTAATAAAATGAATATTATATTTCAAAAAAAAAAACTTTAATAAATCAAATTTTTATTTAATAAAAAATTAATAATACCAATCATTGTTGTTTTTATTTTTTCGTTCATCACCACCAATTTAAAAATTATAATATTTTTAAATTAGATCTTTAAATAGACCCAAAAAATAACTAGATTACATCAACACTAGGTTTTACAATGTTTTTTAATCTTTGGTTTTTCTTTTTTTTTTTTTTTCATTCTGAATAATATTAATAATCATTTTTTCTTAAAATAATAAAAATCTTTTTATATTTTCATTTTTATTTTTAAAAAACATTATAAAATTTATAAAATAAATGCACTTTTTTTTACCAAAATATTTTATAATTTTTGTTTTTAATTCATCGATATGTTCTGTAGCTTTTAACTCTCTTTCCCATGTATATGTGTGATTCTCAAGTTTTTTTTCCTAATTAAACTCGGGGAGGCATAATTTTTCAACTTTCATAAAATAGCGCATGTGGTCTAGTGGTATGATGCATCCCTGCCACGGATGCGAACTGGGTTCGATTCCCAGCATGCGCAAATATTTTTTATTAGTCTTCATCTTCCGGGTGACATTTTGGGCAGCTTTATAAAGTAAGCTTTTGTTATCTTCACTTTTTTTTTTTTAAAATTCTTGCATTAGTTTCCATTTATGAATTGTCTTTGCATAACTATCTTTAATTACCAATTTCAATACCCTTTTGATATTTGTTTCTTCTAAAATCATAAACTTTTGTAAATTTTTCGGTTTTTTCCGTAACTTTGTTAAATTTTAATTATGCTGAATAATTTGACTCCTACATGTCCTGCAAGCAAGGATATATTGATATCTGGCTATAAAAAAAATTGTAAGGTACGAAGATCAAATAATTAAAAAAATAAAATGTAAATTAAATTGTTTTATAAAATGCGAAAAAAAAAAAAAGTTTTTTATTTTTTTTATTTATTATGGTTGGTTTAAAAAAAAAATTTTTTTATTTTTTTTTGAAATTTTTAAATTGGAAATTTTTATTTTTTTCGCATTTAAAATTTTTTTTTATATTAAAAATCTGCACTATATTTTTTTTTATTTATTTATTATTATTATAAACAAAAATAATTTTTAATTATTATTAATGGTTTTTGATTATTTGGTAATGATCCTTGTTCATTACAGACGTATGCAGTGTGATAAAGCTCATACAAGTATAAGACATATACTGAAAACAAAAAATAAAAATACTGATGGCTTGGTCACAAATTAAAAAATAAATATATTAAAAAATTAATTTATTGTAAAAATATTTTTTTTATTTTAATTTTTTATTTTTTTAATTAAAAAACAGAATGTGTGATAAAAAAATAAAAACACTTCAATTTTTTTATTTTTTATAATTTAAAAACAAAACAGAATGTGTGATAAAAAAAATATTCAATACTTTAAAGATATAATTTCAATACCAACAATAGTAAATTCATCTTTTACCAATATCAATATTAATAGTAATAATATATCAATTTCAATTACACTCTCACAAACTGATATTAAAAATAAAAAAAATAAATTATATAATTTAGATAAAGTAATATTAGAAAATGACAGTATATGGTCAACTCCATTTTTAAAGGAAGCTTCTACTTTACTTAACTCTGTTTCACCTTCATTTAGAAAACAAATAACCATTAAAGAAACAACACCTAATGAATATATATTTGATATTCTTGATAATGATCAAACAATAATTTCATCATTTAAATCAAATAATCAAATTAAAAGAATATTAATAGATGGTAAATATCTTTGTTTTTTAGTATTAATTAACCATAACAAAATATACTTATATTTGTTTTCTATAAAGATTGGTTTGGGAATTTATCATGGTCACCAAGTGAAGATTATATAGTATTTGTTGGTGAATTAAATAAAAATAATAACAACCTTGGTTTTTTTAATAAAGATTCTGGAATCGATTTAAATAACACATCAATAGGAGACCAATACTTATATAGAGAAAGTTGGGGTGAAACTTATTCAAATGTTTATAATCCTACACTATTTATCATAGATATAAAGAATGAAACTGTTTTTCCATTAGAAACATTTCCAAATGACAAAATTACACCTGGGCAACCAATATGGACACCATGTGGATGTGGAATTATATTTGTGGGATGGGAAATTGATAAAAGAAAATTTGGTTTAAGATTATGTTTTAATCGTAAAAGCTCTTTGTACCATATCGATTTTAATTTATATAAAAACAATAAAAACCAGTTAATAAAAGAAAATCAACAGCAACAGCAACAGCAACAGAAAGAACAACAATCATCCCTAATAATTACACCGTCCCCACTCATAATTGAAAATTTAATCAAAGAACTGGGTAGTTATCGATCGCCAAGATTCTCTCCTGATGGAAATAATTTAGTATTTCTTGGTTTTGATGAAGTTATTTATAATCATAATTCCTGTAGCAAAATATTTAGAATTCCATGGGACAAAAGAGTAGAGCAAAAAAAGACCATTGTGGAAACACTCTTTATATATAGAAATTTCAATGATGAATTTCCAGGCATCTATTGTTCAAGTTTACCATTATCACCATTCATAAATAACAATACTATAGTGTTCTCAGATTCAGTAAGATCAATTAGAAAATTATTATCATTCAATATTGATACCAAACAAATCCACATAATAAATACCAATGGTATTATAGACTCTAAAGAAACTCCTTGTAATTACTTTGTATATCAAGTCAACTCATTGAAGAAAATTGCACTATGTCGAATTTCATCGCCTAACCAACCTCCATCTATCAATGTTTTAAAATTCAACGAAGAAGGATTAGAAATAACCAAACATCTAGTAGTTTATAAACCTAAGCAAAGTGATCAACATGCCAATATGTTTTCAAGCTTTAAATATTCAATTCACAATGTACCAACACTATTAAACGCCCAATCACTAAAATCATTTGAAATGATTTATTTAAAGAATACAAGTAAAGGAAAGAAACCAACTATTATTTTCATCCATGGAGGTTTTCAAATGAGCGTCGATTTAGAGTATTCGTTTAGTTTTGCATATTTGGTGTCATTAGGTTATAATATAATAATACCAAACTATCGTGGATCCACAGGTTTTGGAAGAGACTTTTTAAACAGTTTAGTAGGACAAATTTCCCAAATGGATGTGGATGATTGTATTCAAGCTTTATCATATAGCTGTGAAAAAGTTGACCCAGAAGGAATCGACCCAGATAAACTATGTGCAATAGGAGGAAGTCATGGAGGATCGATAGGTGCCATTTTAGCAGCGTTACCAGGCTTTGCAAATATTAAAACGGTAATATTAAGAAACCCAGTCATAGACCAAGCAGCACAGGCAATGGTTACAGATATACCAGATTGGTCAATGTTCAAGTGTGGTATTTCAATTGATGAAAATAAAAAGTCATACAATACAGCTCCAACAATAAAAGAAATTGAAATAATGAAAAACCTATCTCCAATCAAATACATTCAAGATATCAATATACCTGTATTGCTTTTATTAGGAGAAAACGATCTAAGAGTCCCACCAAAAACCCAAGGCTTGTTACTATACAACTCCCTAAAGGAGAGAGATCAAATTGTTAAATGTTTAATGTATCCATCAAACGGCCATGCTTTAGAATCTATTGAGGCAAAGTTAGATCAATGGATAAATATTTCAAATTGGTTAAATAAATATTTATAATATTTTTTTTAATCTTATATTATGTTTAATTTATAAAATTTAAAAATTAAAAAACGATCATAATAATTACAAAAAAATTAAAAAAAATAAAAAATAAAATGTTTAAAAAAATAGAAAAAAAATTGTTAAAATAATAATAAAAAGGGTGGAAAAAAAACATATTGTTATTTTAGATTTATTGGTAAATTTTAAAAATGAAAAATTTTATAAAATGGATAAAAATGAATAATTTTTTTTAAAAAAAAAAAGTTGAAAAAGAGATAGTTTTTTTTTGAAAAATGCATATTGAACACGCTAAAGGTAATCGGGAAAAAAGAGGATAACGATAATTTTCCTAGAATCACTTTGTTCAATTTGTAAAGCAAACTACCTGCTAGTTATTTATACTATAGTTTCGTTCTTCAAAGTTTGTTAAGTGTACTTTTTTGAAATAATAAGGTTCCCTTCTAGTATAATTGAAATCAATTTAAAAAAGGTAATTGCACTCAAGAAACTCCTCCTTTAATTTACTTTGTTTGGATAATACAGCTGAACTAACTGTAATTAGCACCACAATATTAAAAATAGATAAACTGAATTGTAATGATGATTGTTTTAAAAAATTATAATCATTTAAATTTTATTTTTTTTTTATTTTTTTTATTAAAAAAAAGATATCGAATAGTAGACAGTCTAAGCAGTTGTCATATAGTCCCCATAAAGCTTTTCAATTTTAATATTAAAACCAATGGTGAGGGTATTGTCGATAAGAAAACCTTTTGTGTTATTCCAATCTTCATAAATAATATTACTATTATAGACATTTGTTCCTATAGCAAATGTAAAAGTTTTCTCTGATAAGTTTTAATTATTAATAATAAATACAGTTAGTAACATATCTTTTATAAAAAAGGTGTGTTTTAAGAAATATATATACCTTGAAAAATTGATTGTGAAAAATCAAAATTTATAACTTCAAAGCGGTAGTTGACTTTACATTTTGAATCAAATTGCTTGCACAAAGAAATTGTTAATTTGTTTTCCTTTTCACCGTTTGGGTAAACTCTTATGTTGAATTTCTTTGTTTGAGATATAGTGAAAACTGGCGAAGTTAAACATTGACCTTTTTGATACTTTTTAACCTTGTCACTCCAATTATGGATAATCCATTTTGATGAGTATTTATTTTGTTCATTAATATCTTTAATTTGATTCTTGAAAATATTTAAATTACTTTCTGAATGTTGATTTATGGTCAAAATGGTAGATTCTAAACCTTTAAGGAAAATTTCTAAATAATCGCATCTATTCTTAACCAATACCAAATGATCATAATGATCTAAATGGTTTTGCATTTCTCCTCTATTTGTTTTAAATTCACACGAGTACTTTGAATATGGGCAACTAATTTCTTTTTTTGGACAATCTTCATCAATATGGTCCCCTAAATCAATTCTTTTAAATTTCATATTGCAATATTCACACTCGATTAAGGTTTCTGGGCAAATTTTTGCTTTATGTTCTTCCATATCTTTTCCTATAAAAGAATGATTACATTCACATTTTTTTATTTCATATTGGCATTGTTCGATATGTGTCCCCATTTCACCTCTTCTAAATTTACCACAATTCGAACTATTGACACAATTGATTTCTGTAAATAAACAAATATTTAAATGGGTCTCTATTGAATCAATTGTAATAGTTTCTTCACAACCACCATCTTTTGCCCCTCTTTGTGAATTAATAAATGAGTTTGGACAATATATCTTTTTAAAAAAAAGAATGATTAATATTTTTTCTACCATTTTATTCTATTTAATATAATAGAAGTAATTTTAACAATACCATTAATTTTGCAAGATTTTTTTCTATTGAAATATTCCTTTCTAATGCTCCACTAATAGGAACCCCACATATGTGACATTCTTAAGAGATAAAAAATTTTTATTAATATTTTGATAAATATTTATTTAAGTAAAGAATTGAAAAATACCTTTTAGTTCATTTTCACTAATCATGAAACCCCAATCAGATTCACAACAAACATGTCCATTTTTACTGAAAATTTAAAATATTAATTTTTTTTTTTTTTTTTTTTATAAATAATAAACTATTTACCATTGGAGTGGTCTCTTTAATAAACATTTACATTGAGGACATTTACACTTTTCAGGAATTATGTTAACCAACAATTTTTCTAAATCTATAGATTCTGTCATTTATATATTAACTTTTATTTTATTTATTTATTTGTTTATTGTTTGAGGGAAAAAAATTAATGAAAAAATTTTGAGGGCACAAAAATAATTAATAAAAAAAAATTTATTCAAAAATTAATAAAAAAGATTTTTAAAAAATTGGGTCAAAAAAAACTTAAAAAATTTATTGATGATTATTATAAGCTGGTCAAGTTTGAGCAAAATTTTTAATAGCCATCAATAAATTTTTTTAAGTTTATAAACAAAAAATTACAAATGAGTCTCCTCCTTAAATTTAATTTGTTTAGATACTACTAACTGTAATTTGCACCACAATGTACCTTGTGAAATATCACTTCTTTTAAATTTTAAAAATAGATAAACTGAATTGTAACGATGATTGTTTTAAAAAATTATTATCATTTAAATTTTATTTTTTTTATTTTCTTTATTAAAAAAAAAGATATCGAATAGTAGACAGTCTAAGCAGTTGTCATATAGTCCCCATAAAGCTTTTCAATTTTAATATTAAAACCAATGGTGAGGGTATTGTCGATAAGAAAACCTTTTGTGTTATTCCAATCTTCATAAATAATATTACTATAATAGACATTTGTTCCTTTAGCAAATATAAAAGTTTCCTCTGATAAGTTTTAATTATTAATAGCAAATACAGTTAGTAACATATCTTTTATAAAAAAGGTGTGTTTAAAGAAATATATATACCTTGAAAAATTGATTGTGAATAATCAAAATTTATAACTTCAAATCGGTAGTTGACTTTACATTTTGAATCAAATTGCTTGCACAAAGAAATTGTTAATTTGTTTTCCTTTTCACCGTTTGGGTAAACTCTTATGTTGAATTTCTTTGTTTGAGAAATATTGAAAACTGGTGAAGCTAAACACTGACCTTTTTGATACTTTTTAACCTTGTCACTCCAATTATGGATAATCCATTTTGATGAGTATTTATTTTGTTCATTAATATCTTTAATTTGATTCTTTAAGATATTTAAATTACTTTCTGAATGTTGCTTTAAGGTCAAAACGGTAGATTCTAAACCTTTAAGGAGACTCTCTAGATAATCGCATCTATTCTTAACCAATACCAAATGATCATAATGATCTAAATGGTTTTGCATTTCTCCTCTATTTGTTTTAAATTCACACGAGTACTTTGAATATGGGCAACTAATTTCTTTTTTTGGACAATCTTCATCAATATGGTCCCCTAAATCAATTCTTTTAAATTTCATATTGCAATATTCACACTCGATTAAGGTTTCTGGGCAAATTTTTGCTTTATGTTCTTCCATATCTTTTCTTATAAAAGAATGATTACATTCACATTTTTTTATTTCATATTGGCATTGTTCGATATGTGTCCCCATTTCACCTCTTCTAATTTTACCACAATTCGAACTATTGGCGCAATTGATTTCTGTAAATAAACAAATATTTAAATGGGTCTCTATTGAACCAATTGTAATAGTTTCTTCACAACCACCATCTTCTGCCTCTCTTTGTAAATTAATGAATGAGTTTGGACAATATATCTTTTTAAAAAAGAGAATGATTAATATTTTTTCTACCATTTTATTCTATTTAATATAATACAAGTAATTTTAATAATACCTTTAATTTTCCAAGCCCCTCTTCTAAATAAATATTCCTTGCTAATGCATCAACTCCACTAATAGCAACCCTGCATTCGTGACATTCTTAAGAGATAAAAAATTTTATTAATATTTTAATATATATCAATGTAAATGATGAATTGAAAAAATACCTTTTTTATTTTTATTAAACATTATTCGCCAATCAGATTCACAACAAACATGTCCATTTTTACTGAAAATTTAAAATATTAATTTTTTTTTTTTTTTTTTTTTTTTTATTTATAAATAATAAACTATTTACCATTGGAGTGGTCTCTTTAATAAACATTTACATTGAAGACATTTATACATTTCAGGCATTCTACCAACCAACAATTTATCCAAATCTATAGATTCTGTCATTTATTTATTTATTTAAATATTTGTTATTTTATTTATATATATTTATTTGTTTATTATTTGAGGGAAAAAAATTAATGAAAAAATTTTGAGGGCACAAAAAAAAAATTATAAAAAAAAAAAAAACTTAATTTTTGGAAATTTATAAAAAAGATTTTTAAAAAATTGGGTCAGAAAACTTAAAAAAATTTATTGATTAATTTTAAAAAAAAAAAAAATATTGAAAAAAAATGATATGAATTTTTTACACAGATAAATAAATTATATATTTTTAAAACTATTATTATTATTATTATTATTATTATTATTATTATTATTATTATTATTATTATTATTATTATTATTATTTTATTATTATTATTATAATTATTTTTATTCGGTTATAAAGCAATTTTCATAACATTTTTCAACTATTATAGTGAAATTAATAGTTATTGAGTTATCTCGAATAAAGCCATTATTTGAATCATAGGTCCCAAAAAATTGTAGCGACCACGAATCATTTAAACATTTAAATGTATCTACTTTAACTAAATAAAAATAATTAGAACTATACTTTATGTTTTGATGTAAAATAAATAAATTTACATACCTTGTTCTTCAGATTTTGAGAGATCCACGTTTTCAATTTCGAATGAGAATTTAATTTTTGATTCTATTATAAACTCTTTGACTAAACTAATAGTTATATTTCCCCACATTGCATTTGTGCCATTTGGATATAATCTTATTGAAAATGGTTTCATGGGTGATAAATTAAAACTGAGGGGTAAAAATTTTTTAGCTGGGAACTGTTGCAATTTTTCGCTCCAATTTGAAATGATCCATTTGCCTGAATATCGATTCTGATTTTCAAAATTTAATTTCATTGAATTGATACTTGAAGCCAATTGATCCATTCGACTCTTATGTTGCTCTATTATATTTAATATATATTTATGATGATTATCCTCTTCTATTAAATGCTTACTTAATTCGCATCTGGGTATATATTTATCACATCCTCCATCTAAAATTACAAAAAAACCATATTAGTATAAGATTGAAATGAATAAATATGATATGTTTATATTATATAATTACCTTTATAACGACAGGGTATTAAAACATTCCCACATTCCTCAGCCATGTGCTGTGGTAACTGACCTCGTTCAATTAAAGTTGAGCAACATTTACAATGGGTTTTGGTTTTGGAACAAATGCAATCGTAATGATATTTTAAATCTTTTCTTTGTATATTATTATCGTTGCAAAGTAAACAGGATACTATTTGATATTTACATACTTTTTCATGTTCACCAACTGTGTTGGCTCTATGCTCTTCACCACATCCTGGATTACTACAATTTACATAGTTATATAAACAACTCTTTAAATGACTATCTATTTGATCGATCGTTATTATTGATTTACATCCATTTTCATCTTCGATTAAACAATCATTACAATCTTTATCTTTTAAAAATCGATTTGGACAATAAATCTTTAAAATAAATAAAATTAATAAAAATTATAATTAAACTTTGATGATGATTATTTATAAATACATTTAATTTTCTAATTTCTTTTTCTAAGAATCTATTTTTGCTTAAACAGGCGATTGACTTAACTTCGCATCTACACATAACACATTCTAATTGATTTTTTTAAAATATAAATTTTGATATAAATAAAATAATAATAATAAAAACAATTCTATATCATATAAAATAAATACCTTTTTTATTTTCTAATTGTTTATTCCAGCATGATACACAAAATACATGGCCTAATAAAAAAAAATTAGTAAAATTAAAAAAAATAAAAATAAAAATTAAAGTAAACAAGAAACCTACCTTCTCGGCATTGTAAATTAACTGATAATAGTAATGTGCACAATGGGCAACAATAATCGCTATCTACATCTTTATTTACTAATAATTCATCATATGGATAACTATTATTTTCCATTTTTATGGGTATATACGATGATTTTATTATTTGCAATATATTTTTTTTTTAAATTAACGTTCTTTTTTTTTACTAAAAATACATGTTAATAAAAATTAAAAAATAAAAGGGGTATTAAATTATAACATATTAATTTTAATCAATCAAAAAAATTTAAAAATTAAAAAAAAAATAATTTGATATTTTTTTAAAAAAAAAAAAAAAAAATAAAAATAAAAAAAAAAAAAAAAAAATAAAAGAACAGTATTCTCCAATATTGATTTTTTTTCAAATCTTTTTTTTTGAATAAACTTCTTATTTTTCTCGAAATCAATCATTTTTTAGGGTGTTGTTGTAATGCGTTGTGTGTTATTATTAGCATTCACACCACTTTGGTGAAAATTTTTATTTTTTTTTATTATTTTTTTTATTTGTCCATTTTTTTTATTTTTTTTTTTTCCATTCAACGAAATTATTTTTTTAAATTTAAGAAAAAAAATGAATGTATTTATGATGTCGCTATTGTAATAATATTTTATTATAATAACCATATGATGTTTTTATGTTTTCATTTTAAATCGTGTTCAAGAATGGTGATTTACATTATTTTTTATTCCTATTATTTTATTATTATTATATTCAAATAAAATAAAATAAAAAAAAAATGACAGTTGATATTTACAAATATATTTTATTGGTTTTTTTTTTTTTCCCTTTTTTATTATTATAGGACTGATTAACTGTTAAGAGGATGTCGTAGTGGTAGTTGTTGTGGTGTTTGATGTCGATTGTGGTGAAGATAAATTGGATGGTTGGGTTGGATTAAAAACATCTATAAAATAAGCGGATTTTTTTGAATATAAACTGTACATTTCATATGAAATAACTTCAATTTCTAATAATAATTTAATGGAAAAAAAAAAAGATAAAATGAAATATTAGTAATAATATTTTATTAAATAATTATGACGTTTTTTTTTTTTACCTTCTTTAGTAGTTTCAAATAATTCCCACCATGGATGTGGTTCTTCAGGTAAATTAGTTTTTAAAACTCTTGATGCTAAAAATATTGATGCAGCTGCAATAGCTTCAGGTCTATATTGAATGGCTATTGTTGTTTTCATTGAATCGTTTATATAATTCCAAGATTTCTGTGCCAACTCTTTACTTTTGTCTAAAAGTTTCATATAGTTTAAAATGTATTTATGAGGTAAATCGACATATACTAAAAATCCAAATTCTTTTAAAATATCAAATTCTCCTCCTATAACATCACCTTTTAAATCCCAATAGCCCTAGAATATTAAATGAAATTAATAAAAGATTTCAACTTATATTATTATTATTATAACACCTACTTGTTTAGTTGTATCTATATACTCAATTGGTAAGCCTTCTTTTTTCCTCCAAATATGATTAAAAACATTTAGAATGTCTCTAATATGTCTTATTGGCCCTATAAATTTAGTTGCTACAAATAATGAACCCATTGATAGGGTTTTAACATCATATTCTTTAAATGACTTTCTTGTATAAAATCTTTGAAATATAACTTGACCTGTACCAATAGTTGAAATTGACCTAAAAATAGAATGTTATAAAATTAATATTTTAATCAATTTTAATAATATTTATCGTCAATACAATACAATTTCAATAATATACCAGCTTCTTGAATACATTGTGTTCCATATCTTCTTAAATTATCTTCTATCTCTTCAGAGATACCATCTTTTCTTGATGGTGAGTCTTCAATTTCTTCCTCTGAAAAATATAAATTTATCATCACACAAAAACCCAATAAATATAAATAAATGAAATGAAAAAATTAAAAAAAAAAAATTTTAAAATTTTAAAATTTTTTTATTTTTTATTTTTTATTTTTTTTAAGATATGATTAATTTTATTTTAGTAAATTAAAACATGATTAAATTTGGATTTTAATTATCTTTTTTTTTTGTTCTTTTTTTTTTTTTTTTTTTTTTGGTTTTTTTTTTTTTTTTTTTAAATAATTTCTTTGAACCAATCAAAGAATTTTTTTTGATTTGGACAAGGACATAGCCCAAAAAAAAAAAACAAACAAAACTTTGAATAAAAAAAAAGTTTAAACTAGTTCAATTTTTTTTTTTTTTTTCAATTATTTTTTTTTTATTTATTTGAAATACGTGGGATGGATTCACAATTACCATATCTATTGCATAATTGATCAAATCCACAACTTATTTTATTTACGCATTTTCCATTAACACAGGTATCACGAGTACATTGCATATTGTCACCACAATCATAGTCATGTGAACAAGATCTTGTTGAAGTTGATGGGGTATAGTGGCAACCAAATTCTGGATCACAACGATCAATACTAAAAATATTGTAGTCATTGCAATCTACATCTCTAAACATACATTGTCCCATGTTACAATTTGTAAATGTTTTACATTTGTTACTTTTAAATCTATTGCAAGTATTTTCGGAGCATTGAGGTTGTTGTTGTTGTTGCATTGGATTTTCACATCCAGACCATTGATTGAACATATGTTGGCAAGTACCACTAATTTGATCGAAAAAATCGGATGTGCATGGATTTCCATCATCACATAAAACATATTCTTCAGCTTTAATAATGTTGATTAATAATAATAAAATTGAAGTATATTTTAACATCATCATTTTTTATTTATATATATAAATTGTGTTTGTTATGTAAACTGTAAACTTTTAATTATTGGGGATGAAAGTGAATTTTAAAAAAAGAGTTTATTTTCTTTTTATTTTATTATTTTTATTTATTTATTTTGTTTAATTTGATATATTTTTTTTTTTTTTTTTGGGTTTCAATTTATATTAAAAAAAAAAAAGTAAACCACTTTATTTTAAAGCCAAATTTAGTATATTATTAATAATTATTTAATTATTGTTTTTTTAATCTTAGGTAAATAACCACTTGTAACGACATAAAGAAATCTAAATTATCTCTACAGTTAATAGATTTAATTTAAAAAAAAATTTAATTTTTTAAATTAATTTTTTATTTTTAAATTTTTTTTATTTAAATTTAATATATTTAAAATATAAATATTAAATTTATAGTATATATAGTATATATATAGAGCCATCATATCTTTAGTTTAGATTATTTCTAAAATAAAAAAATAAAAAATAAAACACACAATAACCACACAATAAAAATATATATAAAAAAAATAAAAATAATCTTAATAATAACAATTAATTAATTATTGTTTTTTTTTTATTAGTTGAGTTTTTATTCATATGTACCAAATAGGTCTTTTAAAATAATTTAACCAATTGTTTTTATTTAAATAATTTTAATAGTTATATAAAAATGTACAAACTATTTTTAACCCCCACATCATATTTTTAAATTATTTTTTTTAATTTTTTTAAAAATAGTCATTTCAAATAATATGGTTTTTTATTAATAAGCATTACAGAAAATAAAAAGAAACAAAATAATTATAAATTAAATTAATATTAATTAATATTAATTAATCTTCACAGTTTGTAATTAAAGAGCGTTATATATAGCGCTCAAAATCAAAGATAAATATATATATGTATAATTTCTTACTAGTTTATTATTCGCACAAATAAAATAATATTATTTAAAATTTAAAAAATATCTTTTTTAAAAATGAATTAATTAAATCATTGTTTTTGTTTTTTTTTAAATAACTATTAATAAATTCAAAGGAGGAGTTTTTTATTTTAACAACTCAATTTAAGGAATATCAAAAATTACTTCTTTTATAAAAATATAATTAAAAATAGTTTTTGTGAATTTTAATAAAATATCAATATAAATTTGGATTTTTTTTAAAACCTCCAAATCTTTATTAATCTTTGGAGTGATAGCAAAATTAGTGTAAAATATTAGTTTTTTCTCAAAAAGGTAAATAGAAAACTTAATTGGATTACCTAAATAGTTGAATGATTATTTTGGTAATCCATTAAAGGTATATTTTAAATTTTTTTTAAAGTTTTTAAAATGATATTATAAAAAGTTTTGAAAATAATGGAATGTATTGAAAGTCGTGATATTTGTCTTTAATCAACATATTTTTAAAAATAATATTCAATAAAAAAAATAACTCGATTTTTTAAATCAAATATCATATGTTCGGATGGTGTAGTTGGTTATCACGAATCCTTAACACGGATTAGGTCGTGGGTTCGATTCCCGCTCTGAATATATTTTTTGGGTATGAATCTCTTCCAAGAGATTTGGTTAACTTTTAATATAATGTAATGTATTCATATGCATTTTAGAATTAAATGAATATTACAGTTATAATTATATCTAATAAAACTATTTGACAAGTGTTAACATCATATAAAATCTTACTTTTTATAAATTAAGTTTTATCAAATAATTTTAGCACTGTCCAACAGCTTTTTAAAAGCTATATCAACGTATAGTAATTATACACCACAAAACATAGATCAAAAGAAATTAGACCGCATTAAAGATCTTTAATCTTCTATCTCGGCAATCTCCAATCTTCATCAATTTGTCTTTTTAAAAGCCAATCCAACCACAAACATTTTTCCCACCACCATCTTCAAACATAAAACCAATCATATTAGATTTATCCAAAGATTGGAAAGATATGGAAAAAAAGGATTTTTCCCATAATAATTTCAATAGCGTTGAAGATATACTCTTATCAAGCATCTCTATAATTCAAAAAAGTGTTAAAGATATTATTGATCGAGAAAACAAACTATCCACTTATGAAAAAAATGGAAACAACATCAATCTAAGATTTTACTACCCAAACCACCAAATATCAGATGAGCATATAACTCATTTCAGCAAGTACACAGATATAGAAAAGATCTCATTCGACAAAAAGAAAAAGAAAACTCTCTTTATCTCTCTCTCAAAAGAGAACCTATATAACCTCCTTAATGAAAGAGATACCACCAACAAGATGAACAAGTTCATCACACACTGCGACGATTACCATATGGTAATTGGAAATATCAACTCATCCAATCAAGACATTGAAAAAGTGTTAAAAGAACAACTTAACCTAAAAATTGACTTCTTCCTTTCTCACATCAAAGTCAACAAAAACAATACCTCCTTTTTCCACCTCATCGAAAGCAAAAATAACCCAATCAAATCAAAGCTACTCCAATCACCATACTATCGTATTAAGATTAAGTCTGCAACAAAATCAAAAAATCATCCTAACAACAAAATCAATCAATTAATCAATGAAGATATGTCCAGGGTCTCCACTGATAAAGAAGTTGATAACAACATTACCAAAATGAATCAATTAATCAATGAACATTTTTCGGGGTCCGCCACTGATAAAGAAATTGATACCATCACTACCATAATGAATCAAATGATCAATGAAGACTCGTCGGGGATCTACACTGATAAAGAATTTGAGAACCTCATTACCATACTCAAAAATGATTGTGCCGACTCTAATGATCAAGATGATGATCACAAAGAAACTATTTCTGATAACGAATCTAACAATCCAACTAACACAATAGATAATGATGAAATATCTAATGATGAAACAAACAAACAATTAAAAAACCAATCACCTCAAGATGACAATAAATCATCAACCAACAAACCCTTAAGAACATCCAGGGTTAACGCACTAAACAACATCTTTACAAGATTAACTTCACAAAATTCCAAAAATGAAACCGCCATAACAAATACGAATACCACTACAAAAAGTAACCGTACTCGAAATGTTAGCCAAATATCCACACCAATCAAATCCACTACGTACCAATCAGGTAGTCCGAAATCACCTGCTATCGAACAAAAATCTAAGAAAAAAAAAACTTCTTAAACTAGATAGGTTATTCCAACCTTACCCCAACCCCTACTTCTTCTTATATTTTAATATAAATAAACACTGTCGCTTACACTAATAATATTTATTATATTATTAAGTAAGCTTTTTTAAAAAAAAAAAAAAAAAAAAAAAAAAAAAAAATAATTATATCTCAACTAAATAATATATTTATATTTTCCTTTATTTTAAATAATTTATTATTTAAAATTAAAAATTAAAAATAAAATAAAAATAAAAAAATTGAAAAATTTAAAAAATAAAATTTTATTTTTTAGTTTTCAGTTTTCGGTTTTAGTTTTCACAAACAAAGAATTGTATATTTATTTGATTATTAGAATTATTTATATTTATTATTTATCTATAACTAAAGTAGCTCCATCTACATTACACTTTTTTTTTTACGATCTTACTGTTCTTAACAAAAACCTTTGAGTCTGCGTTAATTCGGTAAGAGTAGTAAAGCTATGGTGGTTATAGTGATAGTAAAAAAAAAAAAATTTATTAATTAATTAATATCAATTGTTCGAGCTGATTCGGGAATCAAATATATTGCAGTTATGAAGGTAGAATCAGTTAATATTCAAAAGGAGCTAGAGTGTCCAACGTATAAAGGTATAGCAATGGAACTAGTATATTGAAGTATTACAGAGGGTTCGAAAGTAAGCAAGTATAGTTTGATGAATCAAGGGTGCTCATGTCAAAACAGGTTGGTTCAGATGGAATCAAGAAAACTCACGGAGCGTTAGGAGTAGAGGTTAATTGCTAATAAAAAGCTAAATTGAAGGATATTGCCTGTGTGCAATCAATTGTAGTTAAGGTATTAACCAGGTGTTAGAAAAGCCACGCATTGGCTATAATTATGCAAAATAAGAAGTGCATTAAGGTGAAATAGACTAGTGTACAGAACTGAAATAGAAATCAGTTACGACAAATCAAATGAAAAGACGGAGATGTATGCCAATCACGATAAAGAGGGTAGCTCTATAGGTAGTTACTGAGGTAGCTTACGTTTCAAATGGTGCGTTAGGAGCCACGCATTGGCTAAAACTATGCAAAATAAGAAGTGCATTTAGGTGAAATAGACTAGTGTACAGAACTGAAATAGAAATCAGTTGTAACAAATCAAATGAAAAGACGGAGATGTATACCAATCACGATAAAGAGGGTAGCTCCATAGGTAGTTACAGAGGTAGCTTATGTTTCAAATGGTGCGTTAGGAGCCACGCATTGGCTAAAACTATGCAAATAAGAGGTGCATTTAGGTGAAATAGACTAATGTACAGAAACTGACATATAATTCAGTTGCGACAAATCAATGGAATGATGGAAATGGATGCCAATCAGGTTTAGGATGGTAGCTCTATAGGTTGCTGCGGCAGCTTACATTTCAATTGGTGCGTTAAAAAGCTAAAGATTAAAGTTTGGTACTTCGTAATCTAAAGCGTCAATAGTATCCCGATAATAGCAAGAATTAGTATAGATGGTAATCCAGGTTGATTATAAAAAGGTCTTTAATTCAAGTATAAAAATTACAAGCGAAATCAGAGGTTACGATAAAGTAAGAGTATTGGAATCATGGAATATTGGTTATTCAAAAAGGGATTGGATACAGCACTGCTTTCGGAATAATTGAAAAAGGTTGGTGCATGAACTTACACGAAGTTAGAGTAGTGAAGATAAAGTTAATTCAACATGGTCAAATGATCAATTATCTCAACAAAAACAAATAAAAAAAAATAAAAAAAAAAACAAAAAAAAATATAATATAGATGGTCAGTGTTTGGAGGAGGCTTATTGGGTCTTTAGTCAAAGTGGGGGATATGTAATGTATTCATATGCATTTTAGAATTAAATGAATATTACAGTTATAATTATATCTCAACTAAATAATATATTTATATTTTCCTTTATTTTAAATAATTTATTATTTAAAATTAAAAATTAAAAATAAAATAAAAATAAAAAAATTGAAAAATTTAAAAAATAAAATTTTATTTTTTAGTTTTCAGTTTTTGGTTTTAGTTTTCACAAACAAAGAATTGTATATTTATTTGATTATTAGAATTATTTATATTTATTATTTATCTATAACTAAAGTAGCTCCATCTACATTACAATAAAAAAAAAATTATAGATAGAATCCAAAGGTTTTCAAGTGAGAAATTTGATTTGATATAAATAGCTGTAAGGAATTCTTGAAACTTTGGTTATAATTTTATTTTTTTACCATCGATTTGTTATGGGATCAAGATTTTTTTCAATCTAAAATTAAAAATCTTTATTTTTTTCCCAATTTTTTTTTATTTTATAAAAATATATGAAAATATTTAAGTTTAAAAATTGGTAGGAACTATTGATTGTTAATTTCCTTAAATTTCATCTTATAATTTTAAAGATTAGTATATTCAATAAATTTGCAGCAAATTTTATTGAATGTTTTTAAAAAATAAAACAACACCAAAATATCTTTTTTTTTTTTTTTTTTAAATTTTATTTTTTAAAATTATTTTTATTAAAAAATTGAGAAAAATGACCATTATCAAAAATAAATCCCATAAAAAAAATAAATTTCAAAAAATCGATTGCTAAAAAAATAAAATTATAATCAATGTTTCAAGAATTCCTTACAGCAATTTAATAAAAATCAAATTACACACTTGAAAACCTTGGATTCTGTCTATAATTTTTTTAATTTTTTTTGTGGAAAATTTTATTTTTGTTTTTTTTTTCTTATAATAATTACTGATTAATTTAAAGCATTTGCTTTTAATTATCTTCACTTTTAAAAAAAAAAAAAAAAAAAAAAAGAAAAAATTAATTTAAAACATTTGTAAAACTCATATAAGTATAAAACACATACCAAACAAATCACAATAAAAATTCTGATGACTTAATATACCATTAAGAACCATCTTCACTAAAAAAAAAAAAAAAACCATTACCATTTACTGATTAATTTAAAACATTTGTTTAAAACATCCAAATACAAAATTCACAACAACTTAATTAATAAAATACTATCTCCTTCACTAATAATATAAATTATATAATAAAGTAATATATTTATAAACAATATCCAAAATAAAAGTTAAAAAATAATATCTATTTATTAATTTATTTAAATTTTAATTGATATAGTTTCTAATAATATCGATTGCTTTTTGGATTTTTAAAGGTAGACCACTAATTTCGATTGTGTGTGACTTTTCGGTGTCAATAAATTGAATGTTTACATTTAAAAGTTCTACATCTCTTTTGATTGATAATTTGTTTTCTTGATATTTGCCTATTTGAACAGTTGGGATTGACATGGATCTGGTCATTGTATGTAAACAACTGTCGAGGAATCTATAAATATCCACCAACACACAAATACCATTGTATGCCACTCTGAATTGTTCACCTAAAAAACAAAGTTTTCCTTTTTCATCGATAGTGTAGTTATTATTGGAAATGTTAATATTATTATTTGCTGGTATTGTATTAATTTGATCCATTCCATTTTCCTTTTCATCTTTATCGGTTTTGATAATAAAATTAAACTTATCCAATTTGAATTGCTTGAGGTTATATATATATTGGAGGAGAGAGTCTGAGGATATTCTAAAGAAATTTAAAAAGATATCACTATAGATTTGGTCAGTTTCAATAAAAAATTGATTATAGTCGTTTTTGGCGTTTGGATCGAACTGAGATATTTCTTTAATTAATTCATTATCAATACAATATCTAATGAATAGAGTCATTAAAAACAATTTTGAAGTTTTGAATGCTGTATAGTTTTCTTCTTTTGGTTTTATTTTATTTTGATTTGAGTGGGTATCATCGTCAGTTTGGTTGGTTACAGAATCATTGTCAGTTTGGTGGGTTAATGAAATTTTTTGGGCCCATTCTAACATTACTAATATTGGTGAATATAGCATTGGATATTTGAAAATATAGTTATTAATTGCTAAATTTTGCTGATGATATGTTTGGTCTGTAGTGAATTGGAAATGAAGATGTTTATAAATAAAATCTAATGTTAAATTATTTAAATTTAATGCCAATCCTCTAATGTCTAACTTGCTTCTATATAACTCTTCATTTAACCTAGTTAAAACATATTGTTTTTCAAATTTATCTTTTGGTTGAGCATCTCCAACCTTTTCAGAAATGAAAACATTTAAATTTGATTTCGAATCGAAAAAATAGTTGAGTGTTGTCCCGGTGATTTCAAATTTGTAAACGGTATCAAAGATTGTTCCCTTTAATGTATTTTGGATTTCGGATAATAGTTCTAATCTGGTTTTAAAGTTTTGATCCAATTCTTCTTTTTTTCTTTTTGTGAATTGTTTTATACTATCGCTTAATGGTTTCTTGTTACTTTTTGAAAGACCACTTTCAGCTTCTTTCTTTAATTTTTGAGCCACTCTACTGAAACTCAAGGTTCTATTTTCCTCTGGATCGCTATAGCAAATGTAGTACCATGCTGAAATTTTCTTTTCAATTTCTTTTGAACATTGATTTAATAAATCTGTAACATCCAAGTTATATTTCGAATTGGCTGAATTTGGGGTTGGGGGTGTTTGTTTAATTTTCTGTGGGCTAATTCTACTCCTTGGTGGACCACTTCTATTTTGTGCTCTTGGGCCATTGAGATAAACTGGTTGTTGCTGTACTGGTTGTTGTTGTAATGGTTCTTGAACCATTTTCTGTGGTTGTTGTTGTTGTTGTTGTGGTTGTGGTTGTGGTTGTGGTTTAGTATTTTTAATAAATTCTTCAATAAAATATTGATAAAATTCATCTTGAATTTTGAAATATTTTTCTTTAATTTGTCTTTTTACATCATTTGTCCATTTTTCCACGAGTTTGGGATCTACAAAACCTAAAAGTAAATCTTCTTCGGAGTTTGAGCCATAAATACGTAATAAATTATTAATTCTTGTTTTATATAACCTATAAGTGATCAAATTCTTTTGATCTATATAGTTCTTGTAACCATCTACTAGCATATTTTCATCAACTTTTATTTCAGGTAAAAAGTCACCAAACCACATTAAACGACTTGCGCTATCATAAATTTGACCAATGACTTTATCGCTGTGGTAAATATTTGTTGTTCCAAGAGTCGTAGATGCCATAAAATGAGGGATACCGCATTTGTTCATAGCAGCTTTCGCGTTGGCTGGTAATACGCCATGTTTATTGGTTTTAACAGAGTCTACTTCAATAGCACATTGGATTGCCAAATCGATTGCGATTTCACTGTCAACCCCTTCCAAATCAGATATTATTAAATGTTTATTTGAGAGTTTACCTAAATTGGTTTTATCGATATTGAAAAGATAAACATCATGAAGACCCTCACCTTCCCCACCTACAGTAGCGGCAACACTTTCACCAAGGTATGGATCTGAGTTTTTCATTTTATCGTTAATTAAAACATTGTCATATACGATAAAATAACGGTCACCATCTAAATCACTACCGGAGCATTCTTTAAAGTTTGGTACTTCCCCATTGATTGAAAAGAATAAAATATTTCTTTTACCATGAAGTAATGGAATATCGACTGCCTCTAAAATTCTAATATCGCCTGGGTGATGACATGGGTTTTTTAAGACAGCAACTCTACCAGTAATAACCTTTGATCTTATAATATTGTTGTTATCATCAAAATCGGCAACTTCTAAATAAACTTGGTTTGGACCGAGTTTTCCACTAAAATCAGTAACACCTAATACATTTCTACTATCTTCAACTTCGATGTGGCATTTATCTTGAATACGTAATAATTTGGTTTTAAAATGCTTTAATACAATGGTTCTAATATAGTAGTCGTTGAAAAGCTCATATTCGCTAATATTGGGATAAAATTCATTTAAAAGGTCTTTGGATAAGCCAATATCTACTAGAGTTTGGGCATTTTCATTTAATGATTTATCTAAAAATGAAAGAATTGAGGACTCTTCTGTACCAGCATTTAATAATAGGTTGATGGCTTGACGGTTGAGTTTGCATCTTGATGTTGTTGAAACTGAAATAATTTCTAATGTACGATGAGTTTCATCATCTGATGGATCTTTCATAAATTTGGTCATACTTTCACGAATGTAAATGCAGGTTGGATCCATTGGGATACTTTTACCATTACCCAATGATATAGAGTCAGTATCATTTAATACTACAACACCTTTAGAGCCACCAATTCTAATTTGGTAAGCGCAGGTGCATGGATGATAGTTCATTTTCTTGTTGATAGCATCCACTAAATATTTACCAATTATACCGCAGCCTTCAGTGAAATTATGAGCACCAGTTGAATCGTAAACATCGTCGATGGTTTTATATTTACTTTTATCGATAACAATTGATTTGGATGTACTTGAAAATAATAAACAAAATTGTCTGTAAACTTTTCTCATTGGGATACTAGTATCGATCCCACTCCATTTGAAAGCATCTTCAATTTTATACTTTGGATCTTCTAAATAAAACCAAGCAGAATACTTTTTTGATTGTGATTGACTATTACCAATATAACGATAATATTCACCAGACAATGGTATGATTTCGAGACCATTTTTTAAATGTTTAGATTGACCATCTAAAATTAATGGATGACTCTTATTAAGACCTAAAAATGGTTCAAAATTTTCATCTGTAAAGTTGTATAATAAAAATCTTGATGGATCATTACCAAAGCTACGAATTACTCTATTTCCAGAGGTTAAACGCGGTGGTACCAATACGATTCTCGTTGGTGTAACAAATACTTCTTTAACTGGAATAAAAAGGTCATCACCTTTCAATTGAAAATCATCGAATAAATCACTCTTTGGATTGTTATCGCTATCTTGATCGATTCTTTTGAACAAATTTGTATAGTCAAAGAATTTGGTTTTGTTTGAGAGTGCTTGACTTATGATATAACGAGCTTGTTTAATTTTATTCCTAGCAAGAAATTGGCCAATTTGATCAATAAAGCTTTGGGTTAACATTTTACCATAGGATCTTTGGGAGTCAATACAATTTAACAAGTAGTAGATTTCTTTTGAACGTTTTTTTATGCTATCAAAGTTCAATTTAAAGTTTTCTGGTATTAAGTGGCTGTCTTGAATGTGGGCTTGATACAATTTGAAACCAAGATATCTTAATTGGGAAATAAAATGTTGAATATCTCTTTGGTTTAAGTTTAGTTTTATTCTGTATACAAAACTCTTTCCTAAACTTATATTTCTTGACATAACACAGTCATTATAGGTTTTGTTTTGAGCTTTAAAGATACATTTCTTTATCATAAGTGGTCTAATTGCAAAGAAATAAAATTCATACTGATAGGAGGTTTGATCAGATGATGGTATAAACTTTGGAGGCTTGAATAGACAATAGGTTTCTAAATCGTTAAGCTGCATTTCCAAATTGAAATTCGTTATTGAACTCTTTATGACTATTTTGTTTGGTTGTAGTACTATGGTTTCCATTGCACTAGGGAATTTATCTACATATAAGAATGATGTTGGTTCTATTAAATTGCCGTATTCAAAATAACTATTGCCTTTTTTATCATTTGAAAATCTGTATGTATTGTTAATATCTGATTGGTTTAACGCCATTTGATTTATATTTGAGCAGTATAACCAATATCTAAATTTTTTGTTTACATAGTTTTTAAAATCATTAACCAAGTCATCTTTTTTTGATTTTAATACTCTTATTAAAACTGTTATATAAATTGATAAATATGGTTCATTTGTATTATTTTTGTTTGTTTCAACTGATAAAACTCTAAAATTTAAATTTTCATCGTCATTATCTTCATCGTCATTATCAATGTCGTTTATATTGTTATTGCTTTCATTATTATTATTATTATTATTATTATTATTATTATAATTATTATTATAATTATAATTATTATTAATTTTTTTATTATTTAATTCTGTATCAGAGTCCGAATCACTTGGGACATCTGAATCTGAAAACTCTGAAATTTCTGAATCAGAGTCCGAAAATTCTGGAATTTCAGAATTGGAATTTGAATCTAAATCAGAATTTGAGCCCGAATCTGAAAAACCGCTGTTCTTTTTCTTTTCTTCTTGATATTGTTCTCGAATAACCCTATTATATCCCTTGATATAAGTTTTAAATGACTCTATCATATCTTGATTGACGCAATAAAAGAATAAAAACTCTTTTGTGTTAATTTGATCGGTATCATTATCACCGATGTTGGCCTTGAGATCAAATTCCTCCAAATGTTCTTTTAAAGTTGTATTTGGATCTTCAATGAACGATCTAATCTTAGTATCTTCAATCTCTTGGTTATCACCTTCATTATTTTTAATTAATAGGGATGGTGAATTTCGATTTTCTAAAATTTGGATGATTGCTCTAGTCATTAAAAGTTCGCTATTCATAACTCTCTCGATACGCGACTTGTCCTTTGAGTTTATCATTGCAATGAAATTGGTTTGAGTACGCTCTCTACCACGACGTTGAATTAAGGATCTGACACTATATATACTATCAAAACAAATTACTAGTTTACATTCTGGAATATCTATACCTTCTTCCAAGACATTGGTGGCAATTAAAATTTCACATGATCCATTCTTGAAGTCATCAACTCTTTTAATTTGTTTTCTTATTGTCATACCATCTTCGCCAGCTGTTCCAAATATCATCTTTGGTTTATATGTGTTTATAATTTCATCTTTTCTTAATAAATTTATTAATCTTTTACCAATTGTTCTTGTTTCGACAAATATAATACAATTTAATTTAAGTTTTTTTTTTGATTTACCATTTTTGTTATTATTATTATTATCTATATTATTTTCTGTAATGTTATTATTACTATCTTGATTTTCTTTTTCTTCTTGATCTAATAAATTAATTTTGGTTTTTAAAATATTTAATAAGCATGTGATTTTATTTGAAAATATTTCTAATTCGACAGGTTTATTAATATTCTGGTTTAATTCAAAACTTTTTTCAATTTCATCCTTTAGGTTTTGATTGATCGATGGTAATGATAAAAATGTTTTCGAACCTTCAATATCTAATGTGATATAGTCTGAATATATGTTGATAAGATTTGTAATTTTATCTAGATACTCTTGTGGCTTATTATTCTGTTTTGAAAATAATAAAAAGATCTTGAGAGATTTTAAAAATTTATTTGATCTAATGTCTTCAAAGATTAAATCGTCGTAGCTTCCCTTTACTGCATTAATTTCCTTAACTAAATATAGTGAAATCGTTTCGAAAATGGATTGCTGTTGATCGGAATTGGTATACTCTATAATCTCAGGTTTACTGATAAAGTCATGTTCTAAACTGGTTGGTCTAAATACAGAGGAGCACATACGTTTTTCTAATTGTCCAATTTCGGTTATGGCATTCTCTACATCGAAAATAACAGAACTATGTGAGATTGAAGCGGTGAGACCTATAATTCTGGGTTTAGCGGCACCATCACTGACCGATGTATAGATATCCATTAACATCGAGTATGAACTTTCACCAACAGCATGATGGACTTCATCAAAAATAATAATATGAAAATCTTCTATAAATATAAATCCATTTTTGATTGAATTGATAACAGTTTGTGGTGTTGCAACTAAAACGTCGTATGATTCCTTTTTCCCTAAAAATTGTCTTCTTTCGATTTTGTTTGAAGTATTACTGCTCATTGTAATTACCCTAAGTTTTGTATATTGTTCTATTGATTCTGCTTGTTGTTTAACCAAGTGCACAGAGCTAACCAAGAATAACGCAACTTTATTATTAATTGGATAGTTTAATCTATGCATTTCTAAAAGGGCCAAAATTGAAATTAAAGTTTTACCTAGTAACAAAATTAAAATAATAATTTATAAATATTTTTTTTGTTTTTTAATTTATATTTTCTTTATAAAAATATTTACCTGTACCAGTCGGTAAAACTATAATTGAATTTCTTTTAATACATTCATAAAAAGCTTCTATTTGGTAATTATGTGGTTTAACTCCATTGTTAAGTGTTGGTATATCTGGTTTGGTAGTTGAGAAAATGGTTCTATTTTTTAATAATGGATCGATAGAGGACTCCATTTCTCTCTGAAAAGAAACGATATTCTAAATATAAACTTTTAAAAATTTTTTAATTTAAATTTAAAATTTTTTTTTTTATTATATTATAGTTAATTGATTAATCATAATCTATAATTATAATTTTTTGTTGTTTATATTATTTATTATTATGTTATAGTTGGTTATTTCTGTTCATGGGTGAAAAAAAATGAAAAAATAAAAAAAAAAAAAATATTAAAAAAAAAAAAAAAATTAAAAAAAAAAAAAATTAAAAAAAATTATTATTTTTTTACATTTTTTATTTTAATATTCTTAAAACGACACTTGAATTCCTATTTTTGGGAAATAGTTATTTATAGTTACTCAATAACTAATAAATATTAAACAAATGGTAATAAAGTAGATTAGTGATAGGCTTAAAATGTTGGTTTGATTGGTTGCATTATTACTTTCAATATTGTCGGTGGATGATTTTGATGGTGGTGATGCTGTTGGTGTTGGTGATGGAGATGGAGACTCTTTTTCAGAAACTTGATCATCATCATCTAAAATGTGTTGGTTTGATGGTGGTTGTATTGAGGCTTTAGGGGTTGGGCTGGGTTTTGTTGAATTTACAGGTGGATCCTCGATTGTTGTTGGATAGTAATCCGAAAAAAAATATAAATATTTTGAAGATATTGCCGAAATAGATAAAATTGAATATAATTTGGTTTCTTTAGCATCCTCTTTTATATTTGAAATATTGTATAGTTTTTCAACTGATGTATTGAATGTTGAAAAGTTACCTAAAATTAAACCAAAATCATAGATATTTGAACGTAGCTTTTGATTATCAATAATCATATTGACGGTGTCGTAGTTGTTTTTAGTGATAGTGGTACTAGGATCTGAAGCAATGATTTCATCATCATTATCAATTTTAGAAACTGATATATCATGTGGAGGTGTTGATGATAGTGACGATGTATTTGAACTGGTGTTATTGCTTTTGATCATCGGATATAAATATAAAATTAATTTATTAGTTGGTGGTTTGCTAACAAAGCCTCTGACGATCACTGCTAACCCAATTCCATCCTTAACTTGATAAATATAATTATTGCCAATGCTTGATGTTTGATTTGCCAAATAATGGTTTAATGTTATATCACAATTGAATGGTAGATCGGCAGAGCTCATAAATGTGTTAGTTTTATAACGATTGACAAGAAAATCCGCTCTGTTAATACTGCCATACTCTTGAGCTGGTGTGAGCAAATAACTGTTAACTGTATATCCTTTCTTTGTTATCTCTTTTAGAACCAACCCAATACTAGTTTGAAAGTTGTTTAGATGATTAGGTAGTGGAACGGTTTGCTTGCCACTTTTTAATTCTAACATGTCTTCACCCTCGACTACAATAGAAATATAAATGTTAGTGATATATATGTATATATTATTTAAAAATGTTTTATTCAATAATATACATACCTTTAGAACAATCGTCACCCGACCATGGTTCGTTACAGACACATTTTAAACCTCCTGGACAAACACCGTGGCCGTTACATTGTGTTAACCCCAAACAATTTGGATTCATAAATGAAATTGTATGATTTATGGTATACTGAGAAACTGATAGTTTTAATGGTGCATTCCTTGGCAATGGTGGATTTAAATTTAAAACCAAACTAGATGCACTCCATTCACTAATGTTATATCTTTCAAATCCTTTACCTAAATCTATTTCAACTTTAACATCTTCTTGCTTTTTTCCAAAAAACCTTCCATATATTGATATTATATTATCATTTTGACTTAATGGTTCTATGTAATTAATAAGGGGTATATCACAATCTTTTTGAATTTTTTAAAAAAAAAAAAAATATAAAAAAATTAATAATTAATAGTTCTAATTGAAAAAAAAATATAAAAGGGTTTTTCTTACTTATTATTTTAAAATAAAGACTAATTAAAATTAGTAATTTTAATAATTTTTTGAATAACATCATTATTTTCTCATAAAAAATTTAACTAAATTTGATTTAAGTTCTTTTAAAAAAAAATTTTAAAATTAAAATATTTTAAATAAAAAAAAATGTTATAAAAATTATTTTAAAAATTAAAATAAAATAATATTAAATAAATATCTTTTAATATTTTTAAAGAGACATTTACATTTATATATATATGGATAAAGAATTTCTTTTTATTTTTTTTTTTTTTGAAGATTTTTTTTAAAAAAAGTATTTTATACCAATTTATAAAATTAACAATAATATTGTATTTATAAAAAAAATAATATTAAACTATTAAATTTTATTCAAAATGTAATATAGATAAAGCTTTGTAAAATTGTTATTTTTTTATTTTTTTAAACTATTTTTTTTTTTATTATTTATTTTTATTTTTTTTTAATTTTTAGTGTGGGTTTTTATTTTATTGGGGGTAAGAAAATATTATTATTTAAACAAATAATAAATATCGTATAGAATTTAAATAGTAAGTATTAACTGTATATATTTTAATAATTAGGCATTAAAAGTTAAAGTTTATAATGAAAGAAACTTTCAATATATTGCATATTACAATATCGTCCATTGTCTGTTAGGAATAATTGAAGAAAAAAGAAAATAATACCAACAAATCTCAATGAAATTCTATGCAAGGAAAAAAAAAATCTTGTTAATTCAAGATAAATCAAAACTATAACTATCCTCTTCACCTTAAAAATATAATTACCAATAAAACAATAAATATAAAATATTAATTATTATTAAAACTATAGCATATATCATTTTTTCCCTAAATACTCTTTAACAACTACCATTAATATACATTAAAAACTAAAAACTAAAATTAAACAACAACAACAACAACAATTGATTGTTTTCGAACAATGTATTTTTATTTATTTACAAATTTATTTTAAAACCATATTATTTTTTTAATCCAAATTCTTTTTCTTTTTGAATTCTTAACTCTCTATCCTCTGGCCATTCTGGTACTTTAAGACCAACTCTTTGTGATGATTTTTCAATTCTTTGTCTTGATGGAATTGCAATATTCCATGAATCTAATAATTCCTGTTAATATTGATGAATAATATATAAAAATATTAGTATTGGATTAATTTTAATTTGAATTGTGTTTTTTTTGTTTGTCCATTATCTATTTACACTTAAATCTTTGGAACTTTTTAAAAGATATCTATATGATTTAACTTTGTCTTGTAATTTTTGGATTTCAACTGGGTCTGTAACATCTTTATTTTCTCTAAATAATTGAATTACATTTGTTCTCCACCATGGATCATATTTGAATGAATTATATCTATAACCTTCTCTAATAAGTCTTCTGAATAAAACAATTGATGATGTTGTAATACCTGTAGTTGTCATTTTTTTTTTAATAAGGTGATATTATTTTAAATTTTCAAAAAAAAAAAAAAAATAAAAAAAAAAATGAAAAAAATTAAAATAAAATAAAAAAATTTTTTAAAAATTTTTTTTTTCGTTTTTTAATAATAAAAAAAATAAAAATTAAATTAAACTAAATTGATCCAATTAATATTATTTTTTTTTTAAAAAAAAATCCAATATGATTTTTAATTTTTATCAATAACAATTTTAAAAATCTCAATAATATTTAAGAATTTTTAATAAAAAAAAAAAAGACAACCATTTTTTTTTCCACTAAGAATTGGGCAGAGGAATTTAAAATATAAAGAAACATTGAAAATGAACCGTTTATGCAATAGATTGAGATAAAATTATAGTTTCACAACAAGAAAAAAGGAATTTTAGATAAAATTTTTAAAAAAACGGACTTGGATTCTGAAACTTTAACAAAGTCAGCAAATGCCTTAATAGCTCAGTTGGTACGAGCGTGAGACTGAAGTTCTTAAGGTCGCTGGTTCGATCCCGGCTTGAGGCAATTTTTTATAATATAAAATCTTTCCGGTGATATATTATTAACTGGTGTAGCAATGATAGCCAAGTGGTCAATTTTTGTAATTGTAATGTACATAAATAAATAATTAATAAACAATAAAAATAAAGATAATAAATTATATGATTTTTAAGTTTATGAGAAAATTGAATAAAACGAAAAATTCGAAAATTTTTTATTTTATTTTTTTTTATTTTTTTATTTTTTAAATTAAATTATTTTTAATTATTAAAATTATTAATTATTATAATTGTTTGATTAAATGACTATTTAAGTTATAATTAATTAATTAAGTGAATTTTGATGATAATACATTACATTTTACTGATTAATTTAAAGCATTTGCTTTTAATTATCTTCACTTTTACATTATAATTATTGTACAATAAATCATGATATTATTGAATGATCCAAACCAATTGTATATTCTTGAATGTGTATAATGAAATAAATTTTATAAAATTATGGTTATCAAAATAAAAAAATCCTTATTTGTTTTAATGCTAAATAAACCTTGATTATATTTTAATGATACACAATTGTTGATATTTTTATATGCAATTAAATTCTTGATATTTTTAATTATCCATAATATTTGATATATAATGAATGATACACAATACTTGATAATATTTAATGATCCATAATATTTAATATTTTTGAATGTAACACAATACTTGATATGTTTTAATGATCCAATAAAATAATTAATTTATAATTATTATACAATAAATCTTGATTTTATTGAATGATCCTATCCAATTGTATATTTTTGAATGAGAATAATAATAAATTTTATTAAAAAATAAATTATAGTTGAATTTTAATAATTAAATGCTAAAAAATACTTTATATGTTTTAATGCTAAAAAACCCTCGCTATGTTTTGATTATATATATTAAAACTTGATATGTTTCATTGCTAAAAAATCCCCGATATGTTTTTTTTTTTTTAATGATATGTTTTAATAATCTAAAATAATTATTTTGATTATTTAAAAAGATAGCTTTTTATATGTCTTTATAATAGTATCAAAATAAAAAATAAAAAACTATAGTTGAATTATAATAATTAAATGCAAAAAAATCCTCGATATGCTTTAATGATAAAAAATCCCGGATATGTTTTGATAATATTTTTAATTATTTTTTATTTTTTATACTATTGGCCCCTTTTTGTAAAGAGTGTTTCCAGCTTTACCAAGGGGAGGTTAGTATATTAGAGCCGAATGGTTAATTATGTATCCCACCACGCAGAATACATAATTAACCACCATATTGATAATAGTGTGAAGTGAAGTGTAGTGTGTGTTTTTTTTTTGAAATTATTTTTTTTTTTTTTATATATTAAATTTTTTTTTTTTTTTTTTTTTTTTTAATTTGAATTTATCTGAATGTGTATAATGAAAAAAATAAATTTTAAGAAATTATTTTCTTTAAATACTTTTTAGTTTTTTTAATAAAAATAAAAAAAATAAAAAAATTTAATTTAAAATTAATTAATTAATTAATCTATAACTATTTCTAGTTATATAATCATCAATTCCAAAATAAGTAAAATTTGTATTGCACAAAAAAAATGTAGATCTGCTACAATCAAAATTGGTAATAATTTGAAACAGGGGAGGTTTTTTTTTTCAAAATTTTTTAATTTTCAAATAAATTAAACACATCTTCCTTTTAAAGAATTGATTTTTCCATTTATATTATTTTATTATAATTCATTTCATAATTGATATGTGGAAAAGGAATAAAGTAAGAATTTGGTAGTTCATTATATGATAATCAAATTGGTATGATAGCTGAATGAAAATACATTATAAAAAAAAAAAAAAAAAAAAAAAAAAAAAAAAAAAAATTTATTTAGTTTTATAAATTTAATTTTTTATAAATTTCTTTAAAATTTTTTAAATATTTTTTTATTTTTTTTTTTAATTATGATTACAATGAGCGCTTTTTTTAAAAATTTTTTTTTTTAAATTTTGAATTTTATTAATTATAATATTTTTATTTTCCTTTTCAAAAACCTTCACAAAACCATATTCATAAATCTAATACTATGGTGCTATTTTTCACTTGTGTTGATGCTAGATTAATTGTGATGTAATCTAAAAAAATAAAATAATAAAAATATTATAAAGCGTTTTAAAAATAAATATAAAAAATAAAAATAAAAATTATTTAAAATGAAATGGGCTGTAATTGCTGTGGGGAAAAACACAAGAAATTTGAATCATTTAGAAAAAACAACAACAAAAAAAGAAAAATTAAAAATAGCAAAAATGTTGAAAATAGTAATCTAAATTTAATAATTATAAAAAAATATTAATAATAGTTTAATATTAAATAAATAATATAAATAAAGATATAATCCCTTTCTTACTTCTAATTAAGGAAACAGAGAAATCATATTTAAAATTGTACCAAACTAATATATACTTTAATGTGAATCTGTTACAAATTACCCCAGAAATTTTTAATATTGTTATTAAATCTTATTAAGTTTTCTGAACGGATGGTATAACTGGTAAATTATAATAACCGCAAACAATTTTATAGGTATACAATTGCAAAAGATCAGAAGTTATTACTTATTATTTTATAAAAAATCACCAGAAAATTTTGAATTTTGAAAAAATTCACAAATGCCTTAATAGCTCAGTTGGTACGAGCGTGAGACTGAAGTTCTTAAGGTCGCTGGTTCGATCCCGGCTTGAGGCAATTTTTTAAAAGCATAAATCTTTCCTGTGATTTTAATATAAAGAATTAACCACGAAATTACATCTATTTTTACAACAACACCAGATTTCACAAATCACACTTCCAATGGAACTATAAAGCAATAGATTTCGACTTAACTAGATGCTTCGCTTATAGAAATATTTTACTGATTAATTTAAAGCTAATTATCTTCACTTTTAAAAAAAAAAAAAAAAAAAAAAAAAAAATTTAAAGCATTTGCTTTTAATTATCTCATTTTTAAAAAAAAAAAAAAATTTATATTAAAAACATTAAATAAAATTTACTGATTAATTTAAAGCGTTAGCTTTAAAAAAATCTTCACTTAAAAAAAAAAAAAATAAAAAAGCTTTCCGGATTTATATGCCTAACCACACAAAACTTATGCAAGTATAAAGTACATACCAAAACAAAAACAAAAAACACAATAAATAAAAACACTGACTTAATATATCATTAAAAATCATCACCACTTTTAAAAAAAAAGCTCGGTTTATGTATTTAAATAATAATCAAATAAAAACAATTATTTTTTTATGAAACCTAAACCGAAAAATAAAAACTAAAAAATAAAAATTTTATTATTAAAAATTTTTAATTTTTTTATTTTGTTTTATACTGGGGAGCTTAATGGCAGAAAAGAAATGATAATAAGTATAAAAAACATAATAAATAGAAATACTGATGGAGGTATCATTTTAAAACATCTTTATTTTTAAAAAAATCATTATTTAAATGTTAATGTAAATGCACTTTATTCAATTACATTGATATGTTTTTTTAAAGTTGATCTAATTAATTTAATTTGAGTTTTTGTATAAATATATAAAATGTTTTTTTTATAATTTTTGAATAGCACCAAAAAAGGTGTTTATGAAATGTGAATGAAAAAAAAAATTTTATTTTAAATTGCACTTTTTGGATGTGTCTTTTAAAAAAATTTTGAAAACCTGCAAAGAAAATTATAGAGTCGCTAAAAAAAAAAAAAAAAAAACTGGGCTTATTTTTCGAGAAAAAAAATTACCCAAAAATTAAAGTGTGTCTATTAGTTTTTTTTTTTATTTTTTTTTTATAATTTATTTTGTGGGTGTGTAAATTAAATATTTTTAATTTATTATTTTTATTACTATTATTGTAATAAAAAGAAAAATATTTAATTTATTTATTTTAAAATATTTTTTTTTTTTTAAAATTTTAAATGATAGTTTTTATAACATATAAATTAGATAAATGATAAAATTTTTTTTTATAAATAATAAATACAATATAAAATATAAATTAATATAGAATATAAATAAATATAGAATAAAATATAAAATAAAGAATAAAATATAAAATAAAGAATAAAATATAAAATATAGAATAAAATATAAAATAAAATATAAAATAAAGAATAATTTAAAATGTATCATCATAAATTAATAATATTTTCAATTTTAGTTATTTTATTGGGTAGCAAAGAGATATTATTTATAAGTGGTGATAATAGTAGTAGCAATGATGATAGTACAGTTCAAAACTATTATTTTGATAATATTTGTAACTTTGCACGAAGTATAGATGATAATGATAAGTTTGAAATGTACTATCTACAAGCACCATTATTGGAGGCAAAGTATGGTAATTTATTCGCAAAAGTGGTAAGTACTTGGAAAAACCTACGACTATAATAATTTTATTTTTATGTTAACTTGGTTTATTAAATAATTTTAGAATGGATATCATAGTGGAATAGGTTTATCTAGTAGTAAATTAAATATTACAACAGAATATTATGCAGGACCCAATATTTTCAATTCATTATTTCCAGTCAATATAACCGAAAATGATGAACATAACTACAAAATCGAATGGGAAACATATGGTTTAGTTGGGATCACCAATCAAATAAACTCGACCTATTGGATTAAAAGACAATTGATGATGTATGATGTAACAGGTTTACAGGTAAAGCAATATTTATCATGGTTACCTATTTATAACATAACCCACCCAGTATATACATTTTTTAAAGTAGATAATCCAAATACCAACTATCACTATCAAAATAGTTCAATTTGTGACGACTTTGTTTGGGCATCCTTCAACACATTTTACCAATTGGGTGGTAGTTTAATTGGAGTTCAATCCAATCCAGATAGAGACGAAGTTAGATTATTTACTGATGATCCACCAATGCTTGTAGATCAAAATAATTCAACACAGATGAACGAAATTGCAAAATTTTATTTAAAAATGGAACAAATTGCAAATATAAAAAATGAAACACTCGAAGATATGATTATAAATATTTTAAATGTTTTCCAAGATACCTTTTATATTTACAATGATGGTCAGTATTTTAAAATGCTTCTAGACCAATCAAAGCCTCTAGATTTCAGCTATAAACCATCTCCAATGCCATCTGGTCCTCAAAACCCCTCATCAATAGAGACTTTATCAAACTGTTATGATGCTACAAATAACAACAATAGAACATCATATAAGATAGGAATAGCCGTATTATCAATCTTTATAATGTATATTATCTCTTATTTTAATTTTATTAAAAATTTAAAATTAAAAAATAATTAAAAAAGAAATTAATAAATTATTAACTCTTTTTTTTTAAATTCTTTTTCTCTTTTCTCCTCTCTCTTCTCTCTTTCTTTTCTTTAATATTAATATTTAGATGTATTGGTTCAATTACGCTTTATATTGTAATTGGGGTTTCGGTAAATAAAATCAAGGGTGAAAATGGTGTTAGATTAATTCCAAACTATAGTTTTTGGAGATCAGTGTTTGATAAACAAAGAAATGGTACAAGAAAACCATTGCTCTCCGACGAAATAATTAATTAAATAAATATAAAGAAAAAAACACAAAAAATAATTTTGTTATTATTTTTTATTTTTTTCTTAAACCTAAATTATTATCTCCACAATCCTTTTTTTTTTTTGTTTAAAATGTTTATTTTAAAAATAATAAATTTCTAAAATAACATAAATTATATCTTTATTTTTATTTATATTATTTTATTTTTATTATTATTAATTTATTTTTATTATTGGAGTAATTTTTATATTTGATAATTGTTGATAAAAAGTTTCGTTATCATCTTCAGTTTCTAAATTGTAGTCATTTGCATCTAAATTTAAATTTGATTGATTATTATCCTTTACAAGTAATTCTCTTAAATGTAAATCTCTTTCAAATTCTTCTTTATATTTATAGTCGTATAAAAAGTCACCATCAAATTTAATTTGATTATTAGTACTTGTGGTTAAATATAGTTTTGAGTTGATACATCTTAAACGCGATAATTCATCACCATAATAAAGTTTAACTTTACCACTTGAAACGATTGAATTTGTTAAATCCTGTTGCTGCTTTATAAAATTTTGAATGTTTATTGATGGTTGGATAGTTAAACGAAGCTCTATAGTTTCACCAACACCAATTGCAACCCTGTCAGGTGATATAAAAGTACGGGAGTTTGGGAATGACGCTAGGGCTTTTACAAAACCAGGACGCTGACCAATATTTTTAACACTAAAATTGCAATAGATTGATTTTTCGTCGTTACTTAATTTATTTACATATATAATGGTGTTATTTTCATCAATTGTGTTTCGTGCTGATGAGGTGATTTCCATTTTAGATTTGCCACCATAGCCAATAAGAGGTACTGTAAATGATAACTCGTTGTTTAATGAAGAGAATACAATAACACTATCATGTGTATCTACAGATAACGGAGCATATTGAATTTCAACTTGACTTTTATCATTTGGTGCTATTAATAGTTGATTGCCACTTGTTACGCTAAAGAAATTGCAATATTTGCTTTGTTTAAAGTCTGCTTTCAAATGTAATGCCATTGGAAGTGTACTCGTTAATGTAATTGTAGTTGTTTTCATTTCGCCCAATCTTACACCACCAAAATGAACCAATTTTTTATTGCAATACAATGATGGTTTTTTAGTTGTTGGTAGATCTTGATTGTTATGGTGAAATATAATACTTGAATTGTCCAATTTAAACGCTTCATCATTAATATATGGCAGTGGTTTGGAATTTTCTTGGCGCTTTTTGAATAGTTGGAATGAAGGTGAGGGTGGTGATGATGAAATATATGATACAAATTTTAATGATTCTGTGACACCAATCAAATCAATCTTAATCTTTTCTTTGGTGTGCGATGGAACTGAAATAATAAATGCTGCACGATGAGATGGCATTTCACTAGGTGGCTGATAGGTTATTTGAAGTGGTACCAATGTGTTTGGTTGAATTGTAAATATTGAGGGCTTAATAATAAATACATCAGGTAGTGTGGATGTGCATTCGACCTCTAAAGGTTCATTTGAGCTAGATAAAATTGGTAATGTTTCGGTTGGGAAGATTTGTTTTCTTTCTTCAAATACCATTTTTATACCATTCTCTAAAACATAATTTGAAATTTTTAAAGGAATTTTCTGATAATTATATATATGTTGTACTGGTTCATAATTTGGAACCTCCATAACTTTGGGCTTAAATAAATATGGCTGCGGCATTTGTGCATGTCTTATTTGTGTTTGCACCTCCTCATTTTCTTTCTTTTCGCTTTGTTGGTAAAGTAATAGTTGCTTTTCTCTTTCTCTTTCTTTTTCTCTTTCTTTTTGAGCCTGTTGTTGTTTAATAATTTCTTGCTCTCTTTCTTTTTTAAGTGATTCTTTTATTAATGATGGTGAATTTATTGGGGAATTATCAATTGGAATCGGAGCATGTTGGCTTTGATAAAAAGATTGTGCTGGTTGGTACTGACTTTGTGATTGTAACTGATCATAGTTTATAGTTGCTACTAATTTTACATTTTTCTTTTGACCCGTTATTGTATCAATAATATTAGCCTCACCAGTATATATCTGTGATTTTGGTATCGAAAATTTTAATGTTACCTTATCATTTGGTAACTTTTCAAATGAAAAACCCTCACCATTAAATTCAAACGCTAATTTATGATCGTCTATAAAAAAAAAACTATTAATATTTATTTTAAATAATCTAAAAATAAATAGTATTATGCTTACATGGAAAAAGGGTTGAAAAATCTGAATTTAAAGTGGAGGAGGTATTATTACATTCGCCCATATCCCAAATATTATAACTATATAATAAATCTTCGTTATTTACAATTTGAGAAGTTGGTTTGCCATTAATAGGAATGGAGTATTGATAAAACATAGCTCCAGTTGAAATTTGTTTTACTGAAAATCTAGATACTACATAATCATCGAAATGAGTTGAGTCGGTTGCAGCACTTGTAAAAGTTAAATTTGCTTGGTGTAAGTCTTCTCTTAATTCCAATGAATTTTCAACTTTTGGTGAGTATTGAATTGATACTGTAGTATATGATAATGGTTCAATAATTATCATTGAATGACTTTTTGGTGGTAATGATGTTGAATTGGGATTATAACTAGTGTTTAAATTTGTGGATTTGTTTGGTAAAAATTTTTCTGGAATTATAATATTAAAACAATTTTTATGTTCTCCAACTATATTTAAATTTAAAAGGGTAATTGGTTTTGGATGCGGATTTGTTATAACGACTTCTTTAATAAGTGTCCATTCTAACTCGCAACTTGAAAAATCAATTAATTTTTCAATTATAATCATTGGAAATTCAAGAAAATTATTTTGTTTTTGTGGTTTTGGTTGTTGTTGGTTTTGTTGTTGTGGTTTTGGTTGTTGGTGTTGAGTTGGTGATTTTTGTAACCCCACTTGCTTTGGCTGTTGAGGTTGCTGTGGTTTTGGGGGCTGAGATGGGTTCTGTGGTTGTTGGTGTTGGAGCTGTGGGTTCTTATGTTGAGGTTTTTGAGGTTGTAATTGTTGTGATTGTTGAGGTTGTGATTGTGGGTTTTGATGTTGTGATTGTGGGTTTTGATGTTGCAATTGTTGATGTTGTGGCGATGACTGCTGATTTACATATTGAAGAGGGGGTGGAGATTTATGTTGGTTTGAATATTGTGAATTTTCATTAATTGACGAAACTGAAAATGTTTGACTATGATTATTACCACTCTTATTTAAAACACTATTGTTCCCTGGGGAACCATTATTACTAAAGACTTTACCTCTTAAACGTAAATATGCTTCATACTCTGGATTAGAGTCCCCAGGTGTTGAATGGACTTGAATACTAGCTGCACCTAAAGATGTATTTGATGTTGTATTTTGTTGTTGCTGTTGTTGCTGTTTCTGTTGTTGCTGTTTCTGTTGTTGTTGTTGTTGTTGTTGTTGTTGTTGTTGTTGTTGTTGTTGTTGTTGTTGTTGTTGTTGCCTATTATTTAAAGATTGATTAAAACTATTTAACTGTGGTGGCAATGATATTCTACCAATATTGTTTATTATGTTGTTGTTTGATGAATTACCATTAAAACTTTTATTAAAACTATTTTGGCTTTTATCTAAATTTGAAAGAGATCTACTATTATTTAAACTATTGCTATGTGTTGATCTATTATTAATACCATTACTATTATTTAAACTATCATTAAATAAACCCAAATCCACTCCACCATTACCTGAAAGACTTCCCATTGATGGTGATCTAGTTTTAAAATATGTACCTGGGGTTCTAGCTTCGCCACTGTTTGAATATATTAAATTGTTTTCACCATCATTTTCATTATTACCATTACTATCATAATCATAATTATTTTCTCTATATCCTTCATATTCTTCATAATTTCCGTCAATATCCCCATTTTGATAATTATTATAATCCTGTTGGTTGTTATCCTGGTAATTTTCATTTTGATAATTATTATAATCCTGTTGATAAGGCGCCTCATTACCATAGCCATTAAAGTTATAACTTTGATTATAATTTGATCCATTTTCGATATTATCTTCATCATCACCTTGATAATTTGTCGCTGGAGAATAAACCAATGAATTATCTGTACCACTTTGTTGGCTCGATTGCCCATTATAACTAATATTTGTGAAATTAACATTATTTTGCTGTGAATTTCTACTATTAAATAACTCTTTATCGTCACCATCTATATCAATATCTTTATTAAGTTTGATTAATACTCTGCTTTAATCCTATATATAAAAATAATCTATACTTACTTGACGAAACATTAAATGAAAATGATTTTTCATCGGTTATTTTATCACCACCATAACTGGTGTCGAATGCAATACTTTTTAAGCCATTGTTTGGTTGGGATTGTTTTGTAATAATACTATTATTATTACTATTATAGTTATTAATGCTATTGGTACTATTTCTAGAGGTTGATTGTCCAAATAATGGTTGATTTTGTGGTGGAGTTTGGGTTTGAATTTTTGGTAAATGTTTATTTATAAAACTTTCTTGTGAAATTCCATTATTTTGTTTACTTTTAATATCGTTTATAAATGAACTTTGCTTATCTAGTGTTGAACTAAATAGAGATGATTGGCTATTATTATTATTGGTGGTTGTATTAATTCTTGAATCAAAAAGCATTGATTGATTTTTAATTATTGTATCATCATTAGTTAAATCACCAAGAAAACTATAATTATTTTTATTATAACCACTTGAACTATTTAACTTTGTATCATCTAAAAATCCTTTTATTTCTGGTGATGTTATTTTTGTATCTGTAGTATCTGTTTTACTATTGCTGCTATTATTATTACTCTTATCTAAACTCGATGCGTAGTCCAATGAAAAACTATTCCCCAATGATGATATGACAAATTGTGAAAATAAATCATGGTTATTTGACATTTTATTAATGCTGTTTATTTATTTTATTTATTTATTTTATTATTTTATTTATTAATTATTTTATTTATTATTTTTAAGTATAAATAAACAAACACAATATTATAAACAAAATGTATAAGCTAACATCATAAAGTATGAGTTAGAATTTAGGTTTGTTGTTATAGAAAGTAAATAATATGAAATTAAAAATAAAAAAAATTTGAAAAAATTTAAAAAAAATAAAAAAATTTTAAAAAATTTTTAGAGGGAAAAATTAATTATTTAAATGACTATTTAAATTAAAATAATAATGGTTTGGTTTTTACATTTTGGTATTATAATACCAATTATAGTTTATTATTTGAAATTGAAATTTTATTTGATTTTTCAATTTCTTTGACTAATGAAGCTTTTTCCTTAAAAGGATAGTTTTTAAATACTATTAGTGTTGTTGCAACCAATGATAATTGATCATCTTTGTAAACTGTGCCGTATTCATCAGTGTTGGCTTCGTTTTCAGATATATCAATGGTGCCTTTTTTAAGTTTCTCTACCTTGGCACTTGAAAAGCAAAAACCTAATTTGGTCCTTCTATCAACCAGACATGTGATGATGAGTGTGTCACCTACTCTACCATTTGTAACTATAGATGATGTTAATCCAAGAGTAGTTAATAGAGTGTCCTTGATAACCAAATCCAAAATTGTACCTGCACTGACCATCATTCCAATAAGACATCCTCCATGGATACCACCAAATACATTTACCATATCATCTCTAACAACTACCATTATTTTAATAATGTCATTATCAATGTATAATAATTTCCATGTTCGCAAACTTTCTTTACCAAATCCTTCTATATTTTTTATTAAACTATAAAAAGTATCTTTATATTTATTTATATTATTATTATTATTATTATTATTATTATTATTATTATTATTATTATTATTATTATTTTTATCCATTTATATAAATTATAACAAAATAAAAAAATATGCACAAAAAAAATATTATTTAAAAAAAAATTAATTTATAAATAACATTTCTTTTTAAATATGAAAAAATAAATCTGTTTGTGTTTTTAAAAAAAAAATTAAAATTAATATTATTATTTATAAAAATCCAAATTATTTTGTTAAGTGTGGTAATGATGAAGAATATAAGAAACTTAAAAATTAAAAAAAAAAATAAAAAAATAAAAATTATTAAAATTAAAATTATTTATTCAAAAAGTTTTTTTTATTTTTTTATTTTTTTTTTAATAAAAAATTTTAAAACAAAATTTATACAAATAAAATGCAAAACAAACCCACCTTTATTATCCCCCAAAATCTATTACCAAAACAAATAAAACCACAAACAGATGAAGAAATATATGCAAAATCATACAATAAAGAAGATATTTTAGGATGCAAACACTATTCGCGTAATTGTAAAATTAAAGCTTTTTGTTGTCAACGATTTTATGTTTGCAGACTTTGTCATAATGAAAATTTAGATCACGAAATTAATAGACATGCAACTAAAGAGATCCTATGCATGTTTTGCGATACAATCCAACCAGTTTCAAATCAGTGTGCAAATAAAGAATGCAAAAAACAATTTGGCCATTATTTCTGTGACATATGTGTATTTTTCGATAACGATCAAAGTAAAAGTCTTTTCCATTGCGATGGGTGTGGTATTTGTAGAGGTATGTTATATATATATATTATAACAATCAAAAGATAGAATCATTATTAACCATCATTATCTCTACTCTCACTTTAGTTGGAAAACGTGAAAACTATATACATTGCGATAAATGTAAATTATGTTTAGCACCACAAATTTTTAAATCTCATAATTGTATTCAAGATATTGGTATGAGCAATTGCCCAATTTGTATGGATGATATATTTAGTAGTAGAGAAGAATCAATGACTCTTGATTGTGGTCATCGTTTACATTATCCATGCTATAAAGATTTAATTGCCTCAAAATCCTATAAATGTCCAATTTGTAAAAAGTATGTAAATTATATATTAATATGTATTGGTAATTATTATATTCATATGTTTATTTTTCTTTTATAAAGGTCATTGGGCAAACTAGATTGGAGTCGTCATGATAGATTAGTCCAAAGAAGTAGAATGCCAGAAATGTATGCAGGATCAACCGTATCAATTCTTTGTAACGATTGTAATGTAAAATCTAGCGATCTTCCACTTCATTTTCTTGGTCAAAAATGCCCAAAGTGTGAATCGTTCAATACAACCGAAACCTCTAGAAATCTAACAATTGATAAAACCAAATCAAGTGACTTTGTAGTTGTTCAGGATGATGAAAGTAATACTGAAGATGATGAAGGTGATGATACAAGTGTTAGTTTTGAAGAAGGCGATGAAGAAGACGAACAAGACGAAGACGACGAGCAAGGTGACCAAACAGACGAAAATAACAATTAATATAAAATATAATTGTAAATAAAAAAGTAAAATTTAAAAAAAAAAAAAAAAAAAAAAATTTTAAAGTATATTTTAAATATTATTTATAATTCATTTTTGATTTATTTATTGTTTTGAATCAAAGTTTTCAACTAATTCTGGGATATCATCAGCAGTGATGTCTTTGTCGGCAGCTTTGAAGGCTTCAGCCATCTTTCTGATTTGGTTTAAGTTTTCAGCACCTAATTGGGTGATAACGTGTGGGATTGAGGCCATTGGTTTAACTTCGTTGTGACCAGAGATAATGAAGGTGTTTGGAGCAGCATTAACTCTTGGGTTTTTGAAGTGGATGATGTTACCGTCGTTTTTGAAGAGGTTAGCTTCTTCAATTTGTTCAATTGGTCTGGTTTTGAAGTTTAATTTTTGGAGGATCTTTTTGTCATCAACAGAGGTTGAGCTTTTGTGGACAACTTGTTGTTTTCTTCTCATTGAACCTTTACCACCGGTACGAACTCTTTCTTCAGCTAATTTGTTTAATCTGGCAATTTCGGCATCCATCTATATATTTAAATAAAAGTTAAAATTAATAAAAATGTTTTGTGGGGTGATTGTGGTTTACGAAACATTTATATAAAAAAACAAATAAACTATATGATAATATTAACAATACAATATTATGAATAGTTGCTGTTATTGAATAAAACTATTTACTACTGAAACTAAATATTATTATGTTTATTATGAACTGTGACTATTTGTTTTTATAATCTCATATTATTTAAATATTTATTTAATTTATAAACCTGTTTTATTCTATTTTTCAAATAAAATATCTATCCTATGCTATATTTTTCTTTTTGTTAGTTTTCATCTTTTAAAACAATTGTGTGCCATTATATGAAATCTGTGAATCTAATTATTCGATATATTTATTATTTTTTTTTTTGAATCTAATTAATTAATTCAATTATTTTATTTTCTTTTGTATTATAATATGGTTTTTTTGTGTGTGGTTTTTGCTAAATTTTATTTCTTTTTATTGATTTTAATTGTAATTATAAAACTATAATATTATTTAATTAAAGTAACTAGAAATGAAATGAAATAAAACAAAACAAAAAAAAGGTTTAAAATAAAAAAAAAAACAATAACAAAACTCTACCTTTAGTTTATATTTATTGAATTATTTAAAATCAAAAAAATTAAAAAAAAAAAAAAAAAAAAATTTTCGTTCTCAAGGCATTTTTTTTAATTATTTTTAAAAAAAATTAAAAAAAAAAAAAATAGTTTTTATGTGAGAATTGCCATATAAAAATCCTGTCACATAAAAACACAAATTAAATGGTCGAGAAAAAAATTTTGATTTTTTTTCTTATTTTTTTGTATGTAACATAACTATTACCAAGAAATGAACTTCAGAAAAAAAAAAAAAGTAATATAAAATATTTTATTTTGTTATTATTTTATTGTTTTTTTTTTTTTATTTGATTATTTAAAAAAATAAAAGAGAAATGAGTCAACAAATAAATAAAAAAATAAAAAAATAAAAAAAAAAAAAAAATTTCGTATTTTGTCTTTGAAACAATGACAACTTTCGTTTGAATGATTATTTCGAAAAAAGCGAGTAAAAAAAAAAAAAGAAAAAAAATTTAAAAAAAAAAAGGAAATTTTGAAATTGAATTAAAAGAGGGTTTTTTTTTATTGTTTATTTTATTGTTATTTCTTATTTATATATAAATAGTATCAATTAATTAATTAATTAAACAATTAAATAAATTAATTTTTTTTAGAAAATTGTATATAGACAAATTTTGAATTATTTAAATTTAGATTGGAAATTATTTGTTTTTTTTTGGGTAATTATAAAATTTTTAATTATTAAATTATTACGCGAAATAACAATAGACAATAAATACTATATTCGTTTTTTAAGATTTATTTTAATGTTAAAATAAAATAATTATTTGTTAATAGTAGAGATAAAATATACACACAAAAACAAATAAACACACAAAACATAAAACCTAAAACATAAACACACCACACATATTCATTTTTTAAAAGGTTAAAAGAAATAATATTTTTTTATTTTTTTTTTTTATTTTTTTTTAAAAATTATTTTTTAAATAATTTTTTTTTTTTTACTAATATTTTTTTTTTTTTTTTTTTGAAATATCTTTTTCTTTTTTTTTATTTTTTAATTTTTCATTATTGGGTTAAAGCGAAATTGAAATATAGAATAAGAAATGTTAGCAAGACAAATTGTTTCAAAAAGAAGATTAGCTTTACAAGTTTATAGAAATACAAACAAAACTACCACTACTAGCAGAGGGATTTCAACTTTAAGCTTCACCAATAACAATAATAACGAATTTAAATCATCATTACCAAAATCATCATCATCATCATCATTATTAAATTGTAAAAATACTTTTGAGGTTAAAAGAAATTATTCAAGTAATGGACCAATCTTATTTAATTTAGCTGATGTTGGTGAAGGTATTGCTGAATGTGAAGTTTTAACCTGGTATGTTAAAGAAGGTGATTCAATTAAAGAATTTGACAAATTATGTGAAGTTCAAAGTGATAAAGCTACAGTTGAAGTATGATAATCACAAAATAAATAGATAGATAATAACAGTAAAATAATAATAATAGTTAATAGACACATAAAATATTTATAATAATTGGTTAAAATTAAAAACAGTATTTCTAATATATTTAAATAATTAAAATTTTTAATAGATTACATCAAGATATGATGGTAAAGTTACCAAACTTTTCCACAAAATTGGTGGAATGGCTAAAGTTGGTTTACCATTAGTCGAAATTACACCAGAAGGTGGTGCATCAGCTCCATCACCAGCAGCAGCTCCATCATCACCATCAACTACTGCAGCCCCATCATCAACACCATCATCATCATCATCATCAAAAACAATTAGTCATCACGAAAATGAAATTACAAATAAACATGGTCAAAAAATTAAAGTTTTAGCAACACCATCAGTTCGTCATTTAGCTAAGGCTAATTCAATTGATCTCAATAAAGTTCAAGGTACAGGTAAAGAAGGTCGTGTATTAAAAGAAAATATTTTAGATTTCATTAATGGTACCAATATTTCACAACCACTTCATCAAGCTAAACCAGCTGCCCCAGTTGCTGCTCCAACAACCCCAGCTGCAGTTACACCAACATTAACATTATCATCAGAAAGAGAAAGCAGAGTACCAATTTCAGGTATTAAAAAAGTTATGGTTAAATCAATGAATGCTGCTACTGCAGTTCCACACTTTGGTTTCTCAGAAGAATATATTATGGATAAACTTACAGAATTAAGAAATCAAATGAAACCAATGGCTGAAGCTAGAGGTATTAAACTCAGTTATATGCCATTCTTGATTAAAGCAACTTCATTAGCATTATTAAAATACCCAGTTTTAAATTCATCAGTTTCACCAGACGAATCCCAACTTATTTATAAGGTAAACAAACATAATTATTTATTTATTATACCCATTTTTCAATATACTAATTGATTTATTGATTTAATAATAATAATAATAATAGAATTATCACAATATCGGTGTAGCAATGGATACTCCACAAGGTTTATTAGTACCAAATATTAAAAATGTTGAAAGCAAATCAATTTTCGAAATTGCACAAGAATTAAATAGACTTCAAAAATCAGGTATTGCAGGTCAATTAACACCAAGCGATATGTCCGGCGGTACATTCTCACTTTCAAATATTGGTACTATTGGTGGCACTTATTGCTCTCCAGTTTTACTTTTACCAGAAGTTTGCATTGGTGCACTCGGTAAAATTCAAAAACTCCCAAGATTCGATAAACATGGAAATGTTATCCCACAAAGTATAATGATTATTTCATGGTCAGGTGATCACCGTGTTATTGATGGTGCCACTATTGCCAATTTTTCAAATGTATTAAAGGGTTATATCGAAAATCCAAACACTATGTTATTTGATACTCGTTAAATTTGATTATTAAATAAATATTTAATTTTTTTTTTTTAAAAAAAATTTTTTAAATAAATAAGTATAAATAAATAAAAATTAATAAATCTATCAATTTTAACCAGTTTTTATTAAAATAAATATATTTTTTTATAGAAATAAATATATAAAATTTTATTTTTGTAGAAAAAGACAAATAAATTTTATAAAAAGGTATTTTTTATTTTTTTTTTTTTTTTTTTTTTTTTTTTAAAAAATAGATAATTATTATTATTTATTTATTTAGCTTTTGTTTATTTTAGAATATTAATATTTGAACCAGTTAAGGGTATTAATGGTTGTTTTCTAATACTAATATCGATATTATTTGGGGAATGGACTAAAATTCTTGGTGCTATTAATTTCTTTGATAATGGTTTGATTGATATCCAACCAATACCTGATAAAACTAAATCGCAATGGGAGTGTTTGAAATCAATTTTTTCTGATGTAATTGTAAATGCTTTTATTTGATCTAATTTAAATTTCTCTAATTTTTCAATATCGAGTGGTGATAAGTCTTTATTATAATCAAACTCTTCTTCTACCTCTTCCTCTTCTTCCTCCTCTTCTTTAATTTCGACAGGTTCTTTTCTTCTCTTTATGGAAAAGTTGTTTTTTAATCCTATATTTTCTATAATTACTTCTTCACTTGAACGATCAATTTTTTTATTGGGTTTAAATTTGTTTTCGATTTTTTTAATTATTTCTTCATCAATTTCATCAATTTCGTCAATTTCATCAATCTCTTGAATTGTTTCTTCCATATCTTCATTGGTTTTTTGAGTCTTGCTATTGATAATATTAAATATTTCGCTTGATATTTTATTTTGATTTTCAAATTCGATTTCTTTGGCTTCAATTTGAGTGCTGTTATCCTCTTTATTAACTTTAATATTTGATAGAATTGGTGGTGTTAAAAGTCTACCTTGTTGTTTCTTAAATAGTTTATCGGCTTTTTTAGTTGAGGTTAAATGTAGTGGAATGGAGTTTGATGTGTATACTAAAAATGTTGAAAGTGGACCTGTATAATCTATACGCACTAAACCACCAATAAATAGAGTTTTGCCATCGATTAAATGTACTAATGTTGGTTTGATACGTTTGGTTGGTAAAACTTGTCTGAGTTCCTTTAGTGATAATAGTTTTAACATTTGTTTGGGATTATCGATACCTGGTGTATCAAACAATGTTGAATCCTTCCAAAGAGGTAATGAAAGTAAATTTAATGTGGTGCCTGGTAAGATGGATGTGGTGATTTTAGATTGAATGGAACGGAGTAATTTCTCACGCTCAAGTTCTTTTTGTTCTTGTATTGAAAGTTTCTTTTTTTTGTCTTCTTTTTGATCATCACTCTTTACAAACTCGACCTTTGAATTGTATTCATCTACAAGAGAATTTACAAAAGTACTCTTACCAACATTTGAGCAACCTAAAACAAATACATCACGGCCTCTTCTAATCTTTTCTAATTCGATAATAAATTGCTTTATACCATCCTTATTAGTACTTGAAAGTAGTAATACATGGGATAAATGTGCAAGACCACGTGCTTTAGCTTCGCTTGTTATCCAGTTTTCGATTCTATCCTTATGAATATCACTTGGTAATAAATCCATCTTGTTGCCTACAATAATTACCGGGTTGTTACCAACAATATCTCTGAAATCCTCGATAAAGCTGCCATGGAAGTCCATTAAATCTACAACTTTAACAATAACACAATTTAATTCTTTTATTTTACTAAGATTCTTTCTAAACTTTTCTATTGGAATTGATACTGGTGCTACACGACCATAATTTTTTAATAAATGACATCTTTGACAAATTTTTTTTTCTTTATTTTTTAATTTTTTTTGAATACCAAAGAAACCATCAAACTAAATAGATATTTAATTTATAAAGGATATTAGTAATTATATCTATTAATAATTTTATAAATAGTTTGATATCATATTATGAGATTTGAAACACTTACATATTCTTCACCACCATCATTTTCAGTATCGACATCTAAAATACTAAATCTTTTATTTTCTTCATCCATCTCTTTTTCTTCTTGTTGTTGCTTTTTAATTTCTTTTTTTGATTGTTTTTTTTGTTGCTCTGAAACTTTATTAAGTGCCTCTATATTTTTCAGTGCCACAGATTCGGGAATGAAACCAGGTTCTTTTGGGTTATTGGTCTGCAATGTGCAACCACATCCTGAACATCTTGACAATGATAATGAAACTTTATCCATAATAATAGTTGTATCGATTTCATTTTTAACATTTTTACCAAAGTCTTTATTTTTAATTTTATTTTTTTCTCTTTGTTCTTTTCTAAATAAAAAATTCCTTTCTTTTGAATTTAATTTTTTTGGTTCTTGAACCATATTAATACTATTTATATCATTGCTATTATTATTATTATTATTATTATTGCTATCCTCATTATTACTATTATCATTGATTTCGGCTATATCAATGTTGTTGCTATTATCATTTAAATTTAATTCTTCATTATTTATATTATTTATATTTTTATTTGATTTTAATAAAGTTGAAAATATTTTAGTTTTAAGATTATTTTTATTTAATCTAACTAAAGATGACCTAATCATTGCCTTTTTAATGATATATTAATATATTATAATATTGTTGTTATATAAAAAAAAAAATGAAATAGGAATCGTTTTTTAAAATATCATATACAATTTATTTTTTTTTTTTGTTTTAAAAAAAAATAAAAAATAATTTTTTTATTTTTTCATTTTTTTTTTTTTTTAATTTTTTTTTTAATTTTTTTTAAAAAACGAATTGATCATTATTTTTTCATATACATAATATAAAATAAAATAAATTAATAATCAAATTAATCATTTCTTAATTTTTGTAAATAATAATAATAATTTAAGAATTAAAATTTTATAGATTTATTTTTTGTTTTTATTTATATTTATACATAATGTCATTCTTCAACTCATTAGCTTCATTAACCACTAGAGCTCAAGTTATGAAAAGAGCTCAAAGAGGTTTATACGGTGGAAAAGATATTCTTTTTGGAAATATTTTAAGTTTTTCAAATAAAAAGTAAAAATCAATATAAAACCCCCCCGCACTGCATATGCATATGTGGTTGGATAAATAAAAACATAAATAATTAAAATGTAAAATCAAAAGTTTCATTTAAATTTATATTAATATATCTATTTTTATAAAATTTTAGAACAAGAAGAGATTGGAAACCAAATGTTCACAACAAAACTTATCACAGCAATCTTTTAGGTACAGATATTAGAGTTAGAGTTACATCATATGTTATCAGGTATAATCAAATATATATATATAATATGAAAACATACAATTTCTCAAAATAAAAGTTACTAACCTATTTAATAACCATTACTATTTATTAGATGTATTGATAAAGCAGGTTCATTCGATAATTATATTGTACAAACAAAAGATAAAGATTTACAATCAGAATTAGGTTCAGAATTAAAAGTTGCTATGAAGAATGTTTTAAAAAGTAAAGCAATTGAAATTTTAGAACAAGAAGCTAAACAAGAACAAGAACAACAAAAAACTGTAGAAAACAATTAATTTTTAAAAAAAAATAAACAAAAGCAAATAAACTCGAATAATAATAATATATATATAACTTTAAAAAATTGTTTTTTATTTATTTTCTATATTGAAGAAAAACTCTTATATTTTCCTCCTTTTTTTATTTTTTTACTTACATAGCCTAGTTGAAAAGATTTGAACTAAATACATTATTAACATTAGATGGTTGGTTATTTTTAAAAAGGGATGGATCGACTTTGGATTTCTTTTTAATAATTCCTTCTCTTTTTTCTTTCTGTAAAATATAATTGCTACTATTATTTTTATTATTACCAGTTGTTGATGTTGAGGTTGTTGTTGTTGTTGTTGATGATTTTGATAATATTGGTTCAGTTAATTTTAATTCTCTATTTAATTTAACATTTTCATCTAATTTTCTTTTTAAAGAGTTATAGTTGAATTCAATTTTTTTTGCTTGATCTCTATCCTCTTGTGTTTCTTTTACCAATGATATGTTTATTCCTTTTGCTTTTAATCTTTCAATTTCTAATGTATCTTCTTTTTTCTTTTCTCTAAAGTTCTTTCTCATCATTGATGATAATTGGTAATCGTTGACGCTTCTTTTATCCATAAAATCTTTAAGCTGGTCTAATTGTGATGCTCTTTCTTTATTTTTTTCTTGATCATTTTTTCTATATTCCAATTTATATAAAACATCCTCATTTAATTTCTTTGACTCTTCTTCACTAATTAATTGTATTAAATTTTCATTATCATTATGTTCAATTTCTCTTTTTCTTAAACCTGATATAATTTTATAGTCTGTATTCTAGAATAGTAATGGTAATGTTAGAATGATTTTTTTTTAATTGCTTTAAAAAGATAAAATGTAATGTATTACTTACTTTTGGGTCGGTTTCTATTACAAAATATTGATCACATAAATGACACTTCATTTTAAAACTTAAAATATTGGTTGAAAAATATTTACCAACAGTTTTCTTTTCAGCATTGTATCTAACGCCTACACCAATATAATTCTGACACCCTAAACATACCACGCTATATGGCATTTCAAATCTTATAACTAGGATACCTTCTGTTGCAAGTTTTTTAGCTCTATCTCTTAAGTGATGTTGTCCTCTATAGGTGTTGATTGATCCTTTACTTGGGTCCCAATCTGGTGGGTAGTATTTATTGGTTGCTCTTCTCTCTGCCATTTTATAATAAATGCTATACTATATTATAGTAATATTATTAAATTATTGTTTAATTGTCTTTTTTTTAATAATCAGTTATTTTGTTGGTACTATTTTTATATTAATGGTAAGTACAAAACAGACAGTAAAAAGTATGCCGTTTAATTTATTATTTATTTTTTTTTATTTATTTAATATTTAATAAATTTAAAATAAAAAATTTAAAAAAAAAATTTAAAAAAATTAAAAAAAAAAAAAAAATTAAAAAAAAAAGATTTTTTATTTAAATTTTTATTTTTAAAATATTTTTTTTTAACTTACCGAGAAATAATTTGCTGTCAAATTTTTCTTTTATTTTATTTTCATTTTTAAAATAGTATTTAATAAGCTAACTTTATTGCTATTATATTCAAAACACATAATAATAATTAATTCTTTTTTTTTTTTTTTTTATTGGCTTTTTTTTTTCTAAATTTATCTTTTATTTTTTAAAATTTTTTTTTAAAAAAAAAATACAATACCCACACTCGTTTTTTTTTAATATTTAAAAAAAAAATAGTATAATATTCAATAATATATATATTATATATTTAAATCATTAAAATGAATCAAATTCACGCAACATTTAAAAAAGGAATTACAAACATTACACAACAATGTAATGTAAATTCAATTTTAACCAGTACCACTAGAAATTGTAAAACTACAACAACTAAAACATACAACCCAAAATATTTTACAACTGCAACAACATCAGCTTTAAATTTAAAAAATAAAAACATTAAACAATTAAACGCTTCAAATAATATATTTAATAGTAATTGTTATAATAATGATTTATTGATAAAAAGAGAATACGCTACCATTGGAAATACACCTCCAAATAGACAATCGGTTTCAAGTACCTCTGCAGCAGCAGCAGCACCTGAACCAATTTCACAATCAAATGTTGCAAACCCAACATTAGAAGCAGTTTTTGAAGAGAAACCACAAGAGCAAGAACAACAAAAACAACAACAACAAAAGCAACATAACAAAGAGAATCAAGAAAAGGGTGAACAAGAACAAAAGAAGAGTAATATTTTTAATTCAAGAAATGTAACTATTGGGGTTTTAGCACTTTTAGCTATAAGTACCAAAATAGCATTTGACCCACCAAAGAATATGAATTACATCGATTTTGCATTCGTTAGAAATTTAAGAGTTTTATATGCTGTATGGATTACCCTATTTAAATATTGATAAGAACTAAAATTATAATTATAAAATTCTAACTTTTTTATTTTTTTTTAACAGGGTTTTAAAATTACATTTTATTATAAATATTATTTATTTGGATTAAACAGAGGAGATCCAGGTTACGCAGAAAATATTCAACTAGCACATAGAGATGCAAGTAGAGCAATGGTTCAACTTTGCGAACTTAATAAAGGTATTTTTATAAAAATTGCACAAATTCTTGCATCATTAGATCACATTCTTCCAGTCGAATACACCAAAACATTATCAGTTTTCCAAGATCATGCACCATACGAAGCTTTTGATCAAGTAGAAAAATTATTTATAGCCGAAACTGGTAAACACCCAGATGAAATGTAAGTTTAAAATTATATTATAAATAATAATAATTATAAAATTTAATATTAATTTTTAAAATTTAAAAGTTTTGTAGATTTTGAAAGAATACCAATTAATTCAGCATCATTAGCACAGGTTCACAAAGCAAAATTAAAATTAGAAAATGGAGAGTTGGCTGAGGTCGCAGTTAAAGTACAATATCCAGGATTAAATGGAAAGTTCCAAAAAGATTTAGATTCAGTAAATAATGTATTGGATTATGTTTGTTTCTTTTTCCCATCTTTTACCTTTTCATGGTTATTACCAGAAGCAACATCATGTCTTCAACAAGAATTAGATTTTGTTAATGAAGGTAAAAACTCTGAAAAGATGGCCCATCTTTTTAAAGATAATCAACAATTATCGGTACCAAAAGTTTATTGGGAAAATACAACTAAAAGAATTTTAACAATGGAGTTTATTCACGGCGTTCGTATCGATAATAAAGAAGGTTTAAACAAACTGGGTATTGACTTTAAAGAGCTTTATTACCTCTTTTCCGATATCTTTGCAGAGCAAATATTTGTCCATGGTTTCCTTCACAGCGACCCACATCCAGGTAATATTTTCGTTAGAAAGACCTCAAAAGGAAAACCAGAAATTGTTTTACTCGATCACGGTTTATACAGAGAGATTGATGACCAAGTAAGACTTGACTTTTGTCATTTTTGGAAATCACTTTCATTGGGCGACATGAAATCTAGTCAATATTACGCAGAAAGATTAGGTGCAGGTCAATTTTCAAAACATTTAGGTACCCTTTTAAATCTCAAACCAGAAGAAAGCAGAGAGAACTTAAGAAACATGAAGAGAGAGTTAGGTGATCAAACTTTAATGGCAATCAATTCAATTTTACAAAATTTACCAAAAGAAATTCTATTGGTTTTAAAAACAAATAATTTGATCAGACAAATAACAACCCACTTTGGCATTGAAAATGGATTCTTAAATATGGCTAAAACCTGTATAAAAGGAATTTATAACGATAATACCATACTTTCAAAATTAAAATATTATGTCACTTTATGTATTTTTAATATCGAAATCAAATTAATTAATTATTTAAAAAAAAATCAAAACCAAAATCAAAACCAACTTCAAAACCAACTTCATCTCCAATCATTACCTAAAGCCGCCGCATTATCATAAATCTTTTTTTTTTTTTTTTGTAAAATTATATTAAAAAGATAAAATAAAATTTAATAAAAAAAAAAGAATCCAATAAATTCCTATAAAAAAGAAAAAATTATGTTAAATTACTTTTAGTTTTTATTTTTTGATTTAAAAGAAAATTGTTTTTACTTTTCTTTTTTTTTTTTTTTTTTTTTTTTTTTTTTTTTTTTTTTTTTTAAAAAATAATAAATAATTATAATAATAAATTTTCCTATAACCATCGCCCATGTATTATCAATGACGCTAAAAAAACCCTGTAACACCCAAATTTGGTGAGGGTTGATGCCTACATTACACATTAATATTAAAATAAATAATTGTTAATCAATCGACAGAGATATTTCATCTTAACACAGTTTTGCAAAGGTATCGTATTTAAAATATATATTTTGTAAAATATTAAATTTTTATTTTATGTTTATTTTTGTGATTGTGATCGTGTTGGTTTATTTTTTTTTGTATTATTTTATTGGGTTTTTATTTTGGGCATAAAAAAAAAAAAAAAATATCTAAATTTTTTGATGCATCAAATTGTCACATCTTGACAAATTAACAATAATTTGTTAAAGTAAGAGGTTTTAATATATTTTTTTTTGTTCATAGTTTTAGTTTTTTGTTATATATATTTATTTTTTATTTATTTATTTTTTTAATATCATTTATTTTTTTAATATTTTTTTTTTTAAAAAAACTATAAAAATGTTACTTTTTTTTTTATTTTAATCATTAAACAAACAAACCAAATAAAACAAATAATTAACATTTTATAAATAATTAATATTTTATTATTTCAAAACTCCAAAATGATTAGTGTTAAAGATGATCAAGTCAGTGTTCCAGTTGGGCCATTATTAGCATCAAGCCGTTTTGTCAAAGTCCAAAGCTTTACCAGTGATAGTAAAAAAAATCCATTTTTCCTTACCCAATTAAATGGAGCCATCTCTGTTTTATCAAGCATTAAACCAAGAAATCAGTTGTTTCAACTTACTGGAGATGGTCACATTCTTTCTCAAATTGGTAATAAGGTATTAGATCTCGATGGTAACAACAATGTTATTCTTAACAAATGGAATTCATCAACCAGCAGCAGCAATCTTCAAATCTGGGTTTTTCAAAATAATTATATCATCAACAAAAACAAAAATCTTTACTTGGACATTAATAATGATAGTAGTTTAAGTGTTAAGAGTAAAAACTCAAGTTCTCAAACTCAACAATGGTATTTTGGACCAACCTTCCCACTTGTTCCAATTCTTCAAGAAAAACCACTACCTTTCCCAGCATTCACAGGAGATCAAGAAAATGCCTATGTATGGATTAGTGAACAAGTTGGCAATTGTAAATCGCTTAGAACTCATTATTTTTATGTAACACTTGTTCCAACCTATGCATCAGAAGTTAAAAATTTACAATACCCAACAGATGGAGTTTACAATGGAACAAAGCTTAATTTCAGTTCAAGTGATTTCAGTGCTGTTCAAACCCAATTAATTACCGAATTGAATAGAGCAACAAGTATTATCAATTTATTTGAATACTATAACAAATTCCACCAAAGTTTATTCTCTCAAACTCAAGCTCTTTTAAGTAAAATTGAAACTGCCGCTGGTTTAGAGTCTGGGTCAACTACTGAATTTGCTACAGGTTGGATTATCACTTTATTTACTGGTTTGGTATGTACTATTATCGACATTGTCCCAGAAGTTGGCCCACCAATCGCTAATTTAATTCAAACTGGGGTTGATGTTACTGTAGAAGTTGTCGATGCCTACAAACAAAATGTATTCAATGCTGATCCATTTCAAGTTGCATTATATGGTTTATGGGATTTATTAATTAATAATTTTAATATCTTATCAAAAACTATGGAAGGAATGTTAAAAGATATTGTTATGGATTGGGGTAAGATGACTAAAGTTTACCAATGTATGCAACTTCCACCAGGTCCAGCTTCACTCTGTTGGACTGCCACCACAAACTCTGAATCACTTCCACCTGCTTTACAAGCCAATGGGGTCTCATTATGTCAAATGTTATTACCATCTAAATACCAAATTTATGTAATCACATCAAACGGTGATAAACCATCAGCTAAAATCCCAAGTTTCTGCAAATGGAAGAGCAACGATCTTATCTATTACATTGCTGCCAACGATAGTTATACAACATTCCCAACTTCTGAACTTATGAACAACGAAATATGGAGCCAAAATGTAACCTTTGAAGATTTCTTTACCTCTAAATTTGGCTGGAATTTCCCAATCGCTTATGTTGGTAGCAAAGGATTCGTAACTCCAACTTTCTCCAATAACTCTAGTATTCCAATGAAAGTTAATATTCAATTTAATTCAAAAACTACCAGTTACGAATTACACACCTATTCATCATTCACCTATATCTATGATGATGATTCCCAACCAGAACTAGACGATAACTTTACTGTAACCATTAACGATCTCAATGGAAACCAAATAACAACCTTTAAAATCGCTTATGATTCCAATGGTATTAATTTCAAAAATGATGTTACTGCTCCTGGCTATCAATTAGGTACTCCAATCATCAATGGTGATGGTAGTGATTATTCATCTTCAATCAATGTTCCAATTAATGCAATTCCAGTTCCACTTTCATTAAAAAAGAAAACAATTAAAAAATAAATTTTATTTTCTCTTCTATTAATTTATTTTTTTTTTATAAAAAAATAAATTGATCATTTTAGTAACAAAAAAAAAATAATTTTATTTAAGAAAAAAAAAAGGTGAATATTAACATTTGTTGTCTGTAAAAATAATTTCCTATCATCTTTATCCCTTGATATCAAGATAAAATATAATTCAAAATTAAATTTTTTTAGTTTTATAAATTTAATTTATTAATTTAATAATTGAATTTCTTTGATTAGTTTTTTAATTTTATCTTCTGGTGATTTGAGGTATTTATTGTAGTCAAATTCCAAAGTGGATAAAATATCTAAAGATTCGTCGTTGCAGTAAACTAAAGTTCCAACTGTCATTAGTAATCTAAATACAATTTCTGGGTCTTCTGTTGATAGGTCAATTTCTGATAAAACATGTGATACTGCTGTTAATAATGATAGGTTTTGTTCATTATAGTTGCTTGTTAAATATATTGAACAGTTGTAGGCAATGGTTGAAACTGCTCTCTTTAATATCTTATCTTTTGAATGGAGTCCATCAATTACACATTCAAATGTATCATTGATATTATTATCGCTGAATAAATAGGCAATACCACTTTTACTTGAAAAACAATTATTAATCTATAAAAATAACATATTATTTAGGTTAATATCATCTTTTAAAATAAACTTTAAAGTTTGAAAATACCTACAACTCTATAGCTTAATAATTCAGATGCTTTTGATAGTTTTTTTTTTAAAATTGATTTCATTAAATTTGAAATTGTTTCGTTGGATAAATCTGTAAAGTATTTATTTGGTTGGTCTTTTAACAATAACATTCTTAAGATTTCCAATAATGGGAATTGGTGTGGTTCGCTAAAGCTTTTAAGTAATTGCTCTAAATATTTACAAAGTTCTATTGGTACAATAATATTTTCATTTGTAGATTTTATAATTTGTTGAAGTTTTGGTGAATTTATTTCAAACTCTTTAATTTTTTCTGAAATTCCTTTAAATTCTTCATTTGCAAAACTTGCTAGTTTGATAAATACTGCGTCAACGTCACTCTTTTCAAATAAAACTGGTTTATAGTTTAAAATTAATGGAATTGAGATTTTTGTATGTTTATGATTTTGAATTGTTTTTGGATGAAGTGTTGGGTTTGAAGTTGTAGCTGATGTAGTTATTGTATTTGTAGTGTTCGATGTAATATTACTTGGTAAACTATTATAATTATTGTTATTATTGAAGCCATTTAGTAATGATGGTGGTTGTGCATTACTATTAACTGGGCCAACTCTATTTGACCATGAATTTGTACCTGTGCCACCAAAAAAGTTATTAATCATTGGGCCAAGCATTGCACCCAAAGGTGTTTTGAGGAAATCTGATGGTAAGTTTACAATGTGGTCTGGGATACCTTTACCCAATAAAAAGTTACTACATTCATTGGTAAAATGGTTGCAATTATTTTCAAGTAAATGATAGGTATCCATTCTAAATCTATCTGTGATACCGCTAAGAAAATTTTCAAATAAGTCTTGGTCGACTTCAGTTTCGCCTAAATCTATAATTTCTTGTGGTGTGCCATGTGGTGTGCAGAACTGAATATAATAATAAATAATAATAATAATGTTAGTAAATGAATAAAGTGTATTTTTACATTTAAAACTATACACACTGGTTTATCTCTTAAAATACCACCACCAAAGTAATATTCAGTTCCATAGCATACAATTGAGGTATGGTAAATTGCATCAATTTGTTTACCTGTTAAACCTAATGACATTGACTTTGCCATACCACGTGACAAATCATAAACATGTAATTTAATTTGGTGCATTCTAAATGTAAAATTTGAAATATTTGTATAATTTTCTTTTTTTTTTTAAAAAATAATAAATTAAAAAAAAAAATATAATTAAAAATTAAAAAAATTAAAAAAATAAAAAAAAATGAATTAAAAAAAAAAAATGAATAAATAATTATGACATGGTGGCTATAATTGATTATGTGTATAAAAAGTTATTTAATAAATAATTATGACATGGTGACAATAAATTATGAGATATATAAAGCATTTTTTTAAAATTTATAAATATTAAATTATTTATTTTAATAAATAAATTAATATAAATTTAACTTTTTGATATGTTTGGGAAGAGTAACCTGCCAGAAAGATATCGAACCTAGAGCAGTAACTTGTAGACATTTATTGTGTAACCATAAAAAACAAGAAATCACTCAGAAGATAGATGGAAAAGAACGAATACACAAATCACAAAATATAACAAAATTTTAATTATTTTGGGTTATTAACATTTAATCCTTTTTAAAAAAATTTAATTTTTGGATTATCAAAAAAAATAATAGATAGTGATAGTTGGGTGTCTATAGGGCATGGGAAAGTTTGGAAGGAAAATTTATAGATTTATTTATTTTAAAAGTTTTCTCGTATGTAATTTATTTTTTTCTAAAATTTTTTTTATATTCAGCAATTAAATGTATATATGATATTGAAAAAATAAACACCAAAGCGAGTTTTTATTTAAATTATAATAAAAAAAAAAAATTAAAATATAAAAGGAGTTATGTTTCAATTTTATAAAAATTATATTTTTTTTTTTTTAATTTTATTATTTATTAATTTTATTAACATAACATTTAAAATTTTTTTTATTTTTTTTATTATTTTATAATGTATTTTAAATTATTTTGGTATTAAAATATTTTTTAGCAGGGATATTAATATTTCAAATTTTTATTTGTTTGATAGCTTTTTTTCTTTAAATTATAAATTTTTTTCAAGGATTTTTTTTTTTTTTTTTAAAAAAAACTGGTAGCTTTCTGGATTTTTTCATGATCGCCATAATATGAGATATTTTCCCAACTTAAAAAACAATCCCATCTTCGAAAAAATTTTTTTTATATTTTTTAAAAATTTTAATATTTTTTATTTTTTTTATTGTTTTTGGTTGGTCTCTTTTTTTTTTAACAGTTTTTTAAAAATAGTTATATATCTATTTTTTATTTTTATATTATTTGTTTTTTCTCTTAAAAAAAATGAAAAAAAATTTATTTTTTATAATTTTTTTTTCATTTTTATTTTTTAATATTGTGTGTGTGTTTGGTTTAATTGAGTTCGAGTTTATTAATGATGTTTCACAGCAACCAAATAATAATAATTTTATTTTCTATCCTAAATTTTCACAGGGTGATTGCTCTATCAATATTTTATTATTGGTTTCCCAAGATATTGGTAATGGACAAATACTTTTAAATCCAAATGATAATAGTGTTCTACCAAAAATTGTATCATTTAATAAAACTCACACCCTAACCAGCTTAGAGTTTAATGCTGGTATTAGTGTAAGTTCGTCATTTAAAGTTTTAGCAAATGGAAATAGTAACGAAGAAAAAGAAATAACTATTAACTACCAATGTAAAGGTATTTATCATTTTTTAAACAAATATTTTTATTTCCATTTTTATTTTATTTTTATATATAAAAACATATTGCTAATATTACTTTAAATAAATCATTTTTATAGATTATGATTTAAATTCTGTAGATATAAAGATGGTTGGAAAACCATATTATGACATCAATTATGGAATTTTAGCATTATTTAAAATAACCGGACCTTTTGCAGGAAAAGCTATCATTGTTTCATCTGTTACTGATATAAAACATTATTCAGCTGTGGATGAAAATAATAATTTCCTACTTATTATCAATTATTATTATTACCCAGGAGGACAACCAATCATAGGTCCACTCAAAATAGATTTCCTTTTTAATAGTGGTAACAAAACAATAATGTCACAAAATTATTATAATGGTAAGTACCTCATACTTTCACAAACTAACAAATAAATTCTAATATTTCTTTTATTATTTAGCTAGTTTTTTTGATGAGCTATCTAATCTTAACTTTTATGATAATATCAATTTCTCAAAACCAATTGAAGCTATTGGACATAAATTGTATCCAACATTTTCATTCGATTCAAAGATCCAAGAGAACATTCCAGTGCCATATTATTTTCTCAATCATTCAGGAAGTTACTTTAAACCTTTATTAAAACCAATTTATCAACAAAACAATACCATCACTTATTTTTCATCTCTATATAATTATCTTTTTATTAATTCACGAACACAAGTTTCTTTTAATGCTCAAAAAAAGAATACAACTTATAGTATATTTGAAAGTAGTTTGGATTTTATTGGTAGGTATAATAATTTTTTGTATTATTTTTTATTTTATTTTTTTTTAATGTTATAATAATTATTTAGTTTATAATCAATATCAAAAATAAATATCATGAAAATAAAATCTTATTCACAAATAATAAAACCAATTTCGTTCATTTATAAATATTTATTTTATTAATTAAATTTCTTTTTTTAGATCTTCCAATTTCCGAATTTTCTACAACTATATTTTATACTAGTACTAGAAATTCTCCTTTGCCACTTCAAGTTTTTAGTGCTGTTTTGAAAAGTAAAGATTCTCAGTATCTTTTAAATAAATTACAATTATCCCTTTATTATAATACTGTTAGTTTTGGTGCTCCATATGGTTTTGTAGAAGGAAATAATAAAAACTTTAAATATTATATTTCTTTGCCACTCCATCCAACTAATCCAACCATTTCATTCAGCACAGAAGGTGGCTCTATCAATACGAGAATTGTAGACAATACAAATGGTATTTATCATTTATTTTATTTTAAAAAAAAATTAATTATTAACATTAAAAATTTTATAGATGAAGATGTTTCAGCTCCAACACTATTAGATTACGATTTTAGGTTTTTTACCAATAGTATTTATTTATTTAAACTTTCAGTTGCAGATGAAGGTTGTGGTGTTGGCTTTATTTCTTTTCTAAATTCTAAAAAGGATTACATGCGTATCTCACAATTTAGGGTCAGTGGTACAGAGCTTAATGGAGTTTATGAAATACCATTTGATCTTGACAAGTACACCTTTCAACAGTTATCGATTTTTGATTTTTGTGGTAATAATTTTACTCTTCAAAATAATCAATGGATACCAAACTTACCAGGAAGAAAATTTGAGATCCCATTTTCAAATTTAAAATGTAAGTGTTTTAAATTTATATAAATTCAAAATTTATAAAATATAATCTTAATTATTTTTTTATTAGTTTCAATTTATGATATTACCAATATACATTTTTTACATAATAATATTGATTGTTCAAAGCAATCTGGATCAAATATAATATATTTCAACTATCCAAATGATATTAGAAAAGCTGCATTTTCTATATTATTGCCAGACTCATCTCAATTTTATGGTGTATGGAATGCAACTCTTGGCATGTTCCAAATCGAATTTGTAATCAAAAAGAATTCAGTACCAACAGGTAGAATACAATATCAAATTTTAAATGACCAAACTATGTATGTTTCATCCGATTTTTTACCAGAAAGCGCTCAATTAATTGTCAAAAAATCAAATTTTGATGGTGTTGGACCAGTATTCACTAAAATAGAAAAGTTATCGCTTGTGGATAAACATTCTTTTGGATGGTTATTATATATTAGTGATCCAATTAATGGTTTTGAAAGTGGAGAAATTACTGTAATGGGTTCAATGGATAATAGTATCTATAATTTTTACCTAAACACTACAAATTTAATTGGTGGAGATATTTATGAAGGTATTTGGCAAATTAGAATGGATCTTGATCCAAGAACTTGTGTAAATCAAAATTATACTATCACTTATGTAAGACTATTAGATAGTATAGGCCAGAAATCCATTTTCGAATTGTCACTAAATGAAAATCCAGGTAATCCAGAGACACTAGCAAATCCATTCATTTACCTAACTGATTCAAATATTAACAAATATTCCCTAACCTGTGATAGTTCAGTTACTCTAGATACAACCCCACCATATATTTCATCTAATGTTTATCAAACCCCTCTCATTGATGTTGGTTTGGGAAATAGATCAATCCATCTTCAATTCACTTTTACTGATGACCAATCTGGTATAAATACTAAAGCTCAAGGACCAATAGTGTATTTAACAGGTGAAAATTATGATGTTATTCAATGTATAACTAAGTTTGGCTCGGGTACCGATAATATGTCTGTATATACTTGTTCAGTTGAAATTCCACTTGGGTTTGCTTCCAATAATAGATACTTTACCGTTTCTGTATATGGTATATTAAATAATCATGGTTTATATAGTGGATATTCATCAGAAATGTTAAACGATAAAGGTTTTAGAAGCTATTTTAATACAACACTTACTTCATCACCACTTCCATTTATAACTGGTATCAATAGAATATCATCAAAAGGTGGCCAACTCTTTATTTATGGTAAATCATTATCAATGGTAAAAGGAATCTATATTAATGATTTGCAGTTAAATCAATATTATACATTTAAAAATGAAATACAGTTCTATGATTCACCATCAGTTATTTCAATTCCAAACTTTCCACCAATTCAAAATAATTTCGAAATTTTTATTGATCCAAACAATTATTATATGAAAACATTTCAATAAAATATACCATTTCAATTTCTAAATACCCATTCTCAAGTCAACTCAATTCACTTCAATTAGTAATGTCAGCATCATTCGAATCAAACTCAGTTAAATCATGTTCAAATAAAGAGTTTGGTGAAACTACACAAGGGGATAATTCAAATTATATCAAGATTCAAATTGATAATAAATCACTTTATGGTAGATTCATTAAAAGAGGAGTGGTAGATCAAGATAGATTAGTATTGTTAACAAACTCATTGTTGGATGAATCTATGAATGCTATTCAGTCACCATCACAATCCCAATCTTTTATAGGAATTTCAATCCCTGCTTTCTCTGACCATGTTGTTATTGACCCTGATTTCTCAGTACTCTTAGATAGCAATTCAGCTTCATCAAACCCAAATTCAGTTTGTAAACCAAAACAAAATAATTCTTTGTCAGCTACCAAATTATCGGGTATTATTATTGGATCTGTTTGTTTTGCTGCGGTTGTAGTAGCATCTGTTGTATATGCAGTAAAAAGGAAAAAAGAAATGATCCGATTCACCTCAAATTTAAAAAAAATTGCTCAAAATAGTGCATGATAAAAAAAACATTAAATTTTATATAATTAAAATTAAATAAATAAAAAATTTATTACAAATCCTTATAAATTCAAAAAAAACCCCAATAACCAAGAATAGTTCAGTTTTTTTTTTATTTTTTAATTTATTTTATAATAAATTTTTTTTTTTATTAAACTCTATCACCAGTTTAATATTTATTTGTTTAAATAAATAATTCAAAATGAATAATGAAATATTGCAAAATAAAATGGAGGTATTATTTTGGGGAGTATTTAGAAACATTTTTTTATTCAAAGAAATTTTTTCAAATTTTAATCCTAATATAACAAGGTATGAACAATTATTTAATGTAAATAAAATATTGAAAAATTATGAAAATGGACCAGAGATAATTTTAGACAAAGTTAAAACAAAAAGTTATTTATTATTGCAAGAAAAAAAGGCTTTACCAATTTATAATTATTTCAAAAAAAATAAGAAAACAAACAGATTATTTTATAAGCAACTCTTTAACAATTATCAAAACTATTTTAGGTATCCAGAAATATCACTACCAGTTATTTTTAAATCTGGTAATTTATTAGCATATAAGTCTTTTATTAAAGTATACAATTTAAACAAAAAGCAATTAGTAAAATTCATCCAAAATCATTTTGAAAAAGGAATTTTTAAAATAAAATCATATCACCATTTTAAAATGTTTTGTTATTTAAATGATAAATACCTATTATTAATAAATAGTATTATCAAAAAATGTCATTTTGATTTCAAAAAAATAATCAATTCAAATATAAAATTAAAACATCTATTAATAATTACAAATTTTGCTTTATCTTGCACCATAATAAATAAAACAACAAACAATGATATCATTACAGAGAATTTAAAACAGTTACTTAAAAAAATAAACAAATATGATATTAAAAAATTCGAATTATATGTAATAGACATAGTATCGTTAGATTTTAATAACATTTATTTTAAATTAATAAAAGAGTGTTTTAACATTTTATTATCATTAAATTCAGAAACTTCATTAGAAACCTTCTTTAATGATCTATGTACCAAAAATAAAGTAGTTGATACCACAATAGAAAATAGTGAAAAAAATAAAAGTACCGATTTTTTTTTTACTATTTCAAGTATAGAAGAGTTGGATAACTTCGAACAATCATATAAAGTAGTAAACCAAAAAATCATAATATCAGATAATTTTTATTTTAAATCAGAGTATAATAAAGACGTCATTTTAGAAGTCCTATATCGAAATCTTTATTATTTGATTTATATGAAACCAAGGGTTTTTATGATTTAGAAAAATTCCTTTTAATTTTGGTTGTATCTTTTCAAAATCCTTGCAAAAGAGAAAAAGTAATATCAATTTTCAAAAGATTTAATTCAAATGTATTTAATTTAAATAAAGTTTTCTCAATGAAACACCTTTTAACCAAAAGTAAATTTATTTATTGGTTAGTTCAAAATGCATTTGCAATCTTTCCAAACCAATATGAAAACACTGTTGAATTTGAAGCTGATTTTAGTAACAATGGCAACCAATCAAGTTTATTAAAGTTTTCATGTGACTTTGTTTTTTTATTTCAAATATTTTATCTCTATAATCAAATGGATACAATAACTATGCTATTAATTGAAAATCCAAGAGGTGTACTATTAAAAAGAAATTGGGCTTTAAATTGTAGACCAGATTTTTTGAACAATTTTATAATTAATTTTTTAGATTCAAAATATATTTGGAAGTCTGAACAAATAAAAAAATTAATAATTCAATTTTATAATTTGGCTTCATCCTCTGGAAATATCGAGTTTTTAAAGGTGCTTTTAAACTATAAAGATCTTATTGGAGTTGATGTTAAAGAATTAATGGATAAAGCTTTGGCTGAAAATAATATAGAAATGGTGGAAGTTTTATCAAAGTATACAAAAATTAATATATCAAATATAAAAGTCAAGTCGTTGTCCTATTACCATTTTAAAAATAATATAGAATAAAAAAAATAAATAATAATAATAAATAAAGTATAACTAAAATACCTATATTTTTTTAAATTCCAACATCCATAAATTTTTTTTTAAATATTTATTTTACTTGATATTTTATATATTTTAAACCTATAAAAATAAAAAATATAAAAATAATTGAGAATGAAAATATAATTGGGATATTTTTATAAAGATTATCTTGATCCATTTCAAATTGTTGTAATACATCCTTTCCATCTTGAATTGGGCAATAGAATTTTGAAAAGTATTTGTTTTCAAAAGGAACTTTGATTTCAACTGCATCTTTATTATTTGGACATTCAAAAGTTAAATGTTTAAACTCGTTTACCATAATCATTTCTAATGGATATTTTACAAAATCTAAATAACAGAACCATTTCCAACCCTTTGCAATGCTTCCCAATGGAATCATAAAACCTGCAAACAAACATGAAATAGCTAAACAGATACCTAAAGGTTAAATAAAATAAAATATTAATAAAACATGAGAGCAAAAAAAAAATATTTAGAATTACATACCAGCAAAAGCATTTGAGATTTCGTCATTTGGTAAAACAATCGCTAATAAAATTGCCAATAGTTGATAGTTTAAGAATGTTGTAAATAAAACAAAATTATAGTAAAAGAAACTTGAGCCATGTTCTGTTAAATAAAGACCAGAAATAAAATAAGCAGGCACTGATAATAAAATTGAGCTAATTAAAATCCAAGGCAAATCGGTCAAAAGAAAAGAAGCTACAAATACCCATACTCTATATATTCCAGATACTTTTTCTCTATAGAATACCCCTCTTTCAGTTGTTACAACTGGAATAAATGACATTCCTGTCATTCCACTAAAAACTAGACCAAAAAACAATAATGACATTCTATTGAAAATATTTTTTTGACTTGTATCCATCCTAACAAAGAATGTACCCAAAACAATACCCAGCATCAAAGACATACCCAACCTTACACCTAGAGTAAATGGACGACGAATTTGACCTTTCCAATGTCTAACTAATAAATTAGTGAACTGGATATTCGAACTTGAGGAGTATTTTTCACCATCTTCAATTAAACGTGAAGTATTGATTAGTTCCTTATTTTTGATTACTTGAATCATTGAGCTATAGATATCAGATTCTTTAAACGATGAAACTGCATCAAACTTGTCATTATTTGTAACATCTAAAATAAAGTCGGCAGGGTTTGTTAATGGATCACAAATTAAATTGAATCTTGAAAAATAATCTAACAGAGTTTGGCTTGATTCACCAGTTGGACCAAAATAAACAGTCTCACCGCCTTTTTTTAAGAGCAATAAATGGTCAAATTTCTTGAATATTGTTGTTGAAGGCTGATGTATAGTGCAAATAACAGAACGACCACTGGAAGCTATTTTTTTTATTAAATTCATAACTTTAAGAGCAGATGATGAATCGAGACCTGATGTTGGTTCATCGAGGAATAATAATTGAGGATCTGAGGCCAATTCTATACCAATATTTACACGTTTTCTTTGTGAAATAGATAAACCACTTTCACCAGAGCCAATAATTTTGTTCTCTATTTTACGAAGGCTAAGCATATCGATCACATATTCAACAAATTGAATTTTACTTTCTTTTGACATTTTCGAAGATAGACGCAAGAGTGCACTAAACATAATGGCATCTCTAACAGTTTGAGTTGGTGGAAGAATATCAAACTGTTCAACATAAGCACTAATACGAGTGAAGCTATTACCCTTTGGTTTCCCATCAATAGTGATCTCACCTTTCATTTTACCGCCAGTTTTACGATCGGATAGAACATCAAGTAAGGTACTCTTACCTGCTCCTGAGGGGCCCATTAAAGCCAATAACATACCTGGTTTAACATAGCCATTTATACCTTTTAATAATTGAACCTTTTCTTTTTTACCATCGTTTCTTTTTACTTGAACCTCATAGTAAATATTATCCCATTTTAAATAACTGCCAGATTCATTGATTGTGGAATTGGTTTGATTTAAAATTGAAAGGTCCACTTCTTTAATCTGTTTTGATTTAATTTCTTTATTGCTGTTCTTTTTTTGTTGTTCAATTCTTTTTTTTCTATTGTCTATATTTTCTTTCTTCATTAATCTTGAATCGTAATGAACTCTTTTTAAGAAAAAGTAAAGCAAAAACAATACTGCAAAAGTATATGAAATGGATATTAATAAATCTACCCACTTAAACCAACCGTTTTGAGGCATACCAAAATGTTTAAGATATTCATCACCACTATTGTATGGGCAACTACGGGCACCGCCATAACCTCCATCTGAATAATTTAAATATAACAACCTATCATTCATTGGTGGCAATAATTCATTTTCAGTACACGAGTATTTAACATTATGATATTCATTTGACATTAAACCTTCAAACATATATTTGGTTGGTACTGCCCAATACATCCATATCCACCATCCTTTAATACTATTAAAAAAATAATATTAATAAGTTATATAAAAATTAGAAAAAAATAAGCTTATATGTAATAACTACCTTGGTTTAGGCATTAGAAACCCACAGAACAATATGAATGGAGCAATAAGCATTGGAGCAGCAAGACTACTGATGAAAAAATTTGGGGAAAATGATGATACCATTTTAAAGAATGTATTTGAAAAAATATTTGATACAAAAATGATTAAAAGAAAATAAATAAATTTCCATCCATTTGGATTTAGACCACACATCCAATAGACAAGAGTAGAATAAAGAATGGCCTCCAAAGCAGACAGAGGAATTTCTAATGCAGTTAATGAACAAAAATAAGCAAATGGATGATAGTACTTTCTATCCTTTTGAGAGTAATAGACATCTCTTTGATCAAAGAACACACTAATTGAACCCATACCACCAAATACAATGAATAACAATGAATAGAATAATAAATTGAATCTATTATTTCCATCAGTATAGTTTGTTTCTAAACCATAATACAGAGACCCAAGCATTAAACCAACAACTACAGACTTGATAATTCTAATATATATTGCGATTGGATTCCTTGATAGCATTCTAAAAGCCCTTAATGAAGTTAAATAGCTTTGTCTAAAATGGGATATGTAATATGGTGATTCAATAATACCAACTCCGTTTGCAGTTGTACTCACTGGGCAAGGTGTGGATATATTTGAAAGGGTGTTTAACTCTGTTACAAGATTTTGGTAGTGTTCTGAATTTAAAAAAGCATTACTGAAATCACTTGCACCTTTGAGCGGAACCGGATCTTGATGATTATAATACAATTCTGGCTCATCAATAATTTCTTGAAAGAATTCACTTGGATTATGGTGAAGTGGAAGCTTGAATCCATAACTTTCAAAGTAACCAATACCATCCTCTAATGGACCAAAATATGCCATTTTGCCCTGTGCCAAAATTAAAAGATTGTCAAATAAATTTGTAACTTCAACGCCAGGTTGCAGTAATGAAACTAAAAATGTTTTATTCTCTTCTGTTGCAAGTTTTTTTAATTTTTTTATAATCTATAAAGATAATTGTTAGAAATGAAAATATTAGTATAATATTTTTAATTTAGTGTGTTATTTAGGTTATAATATTTACTTCAAAAGTGGTTGTAGAATCAAGACCTGTAGAAATTTCATCCATTAGAAATATCTCACTATTATCTTTAACAATCTCTACACCAATTGTAACTCTTTTCTTTTGGCCACCGGAAATACCTCTCAAAAACTCATTTCCAACAAGTGTATCTTGATGCTTTTCTAAATCCAACAACTCTATAACTTGATCAACTTTTTTATTTCTTTCTTCTTTACATTTATTTATCTGGCAATCAGCACTAAACTGTAAAGTTTGTCTAACTGTTAAGGATGCTAAAGATTGGGATTTTATTTATGATAAAGAAAAAAAATATTAATATTTATTAAATTATATATTGTAAGAAATTGATATGACTTACCCATATGATAATCTTCCTGATTAACATAAGATATTTTCTTATGGTGATTAACTGGATTGATATAATCACCATTAAACAAAAGAGTTCCTGTTACATTTTCACCATGTAATTGATTTGATAATACTCTATGTTTTAAATTAAGTTGAATTAATATTTATTAATATATTTATTTTTTACAATTATTTTTTTATTATCTATTTACCTAAAGAGTGAAGTTTTGCCACATCCCGGGGAACCTAATAATAAAGTAAGAGTTCCAGGTTTTAAATAAAAATTTAAATTATCTAAAATAACTAATTTATCTTTTCCCTCATGACCAACTGAAGAACTTAAATTTAAAGCATTTACTGTGATTCCATTACTATCTCCTTTAGTATGAAAATTTTCCATGTTTTATTAATATAAAATAATAATATTTATAAATTATTTATAGTAATGCATAAATAAAATAAAATAGTGGAAAAAAATAAAAAAAAAGAAATGGAATTAGAAATAAAAAATAAATAAAAATTAAAAAAAAATTGTAGAATATAATAGAATTTGTTATTTTAAAATAACTGTTCTATTATTAATTTTGGTAAAGAAAAAAAAAATTTTATTTTATTTTATTTCATTTTGAAACTATTTTTCATTTTTTTTTTATGTTTATTGCAAATTATTAATATCAATGTTTATGTGGATAACTAAATTTAAACTAAAAAACCAAGATTTTTTTAATTATGGTTGGCCAAAAAACTGGTTAAAAGTTCGATTTTAGTTTTTATTCTTCCATGAATCCATTTGACCATTCGAAGAATAGTATAAATTTTTTTATTAAAAAAATAAAAAATAAAATAAAATAAAATTAAATAAAATAAAATAAAAAATAAAACGTATTTATGTGATTATGAAAATTAGTAATAACATTATTTTTATATGAAATAAATTATTATTTATTTGTAATAGATATATAGATATGAATATAAAAATAAACAGCAACAATAAATAGAAAAAAAAAAGTTTTTAAAAAAAAGTGTGCTTGTCAAATTGACAGCAGCATATGATTAATATAAATTAATTTGAAATGAAAATAAAAGTAAAAATAAAAAATTAAAAATTAAAAAAAAATTAAAAAAAAAAAAAAAAAAAAAATCTTTTTTTTTTTTTTTTTATTTTTTTTTTTATTTATAATTATATTTTTTTTTTTTTTTTTTTTTTTTTTTGAAAAATAATAATAATAGTAATAATAATAACTTTTTTTTTATTAATGAAAAGATAAAATTAATTATTTGTTTTCTTTTTTAATTTGTTAATCTAAAATATTAATTTTTTTATTTTTGTTATCATTTGTATTTTTTTTCGCCATACAATTTTTTTCGTCGACGGTCTTTAGAAATTATTTATATTATGAACGAAATAGAAAAAGATGGTAATGAAGATTCATCAATAAAAAATGAAGACTCAGATATCAATAACAATAACAATAGCAGCAACGATAGTATTACCGATTCATTAAATAATTCAGTTTTAGGTAAAGGTTCATTGGAATCACATGGTGATACAACTTGCGACAGTAATGAAGGAACTCCAATAAAAAGATCGAAAATAGAACCACCCAAACATGCTATTTTATCATCACCGCAAATGGTTACGGCATCTAGATCGTCACTATCTTCTTCAAAATCAAATATACCACAAAAACCAAATCTTAGCATCAAACAACCACCGTCAAATACTACAACCACACCAATTAAAGAAAGGAGAGAAACTACAAAACTAAAAACACCAAAAAAAGAAGATAAAAAATTAACCAAATCTAAATCAATCGATGATTTTGAAAAAGATGATTCAGAATATTATTTAAATAATAGTTATAATAATAATAATAATGATGATGAGGATGAAGAAGATGATGAAAAATATTCAAAAGGTAAAAGGAAACCTAAAAAAGAAAAGAAAACAGAAGAAGAAAAGGAAAGAGAAAAAAAAGAAAATAAATTAGAAAAAGAAAGAAAGAAGGAAAGAGAAAGAAAAGAAAAAGAGCTTGAAAGAGAAAAGAAGAGAAGAGAAAAAGAACTGGAAAAAGAAAGAGAAAGAGAAAGACAAAAAGAAAAAGAGATTCTAAGGCAAGAAAAAAGAGAGAAAAAAGAAAGAGAGAGAAGTGAAAAAGAAAGAGAAAGGGAAAATAGAGAAAGAGAAAGAGAAGCAGCAGCAAATGGAGTTGTTTATAATAGTGGTATTTCAATAAATAACATCAGTTTATCGACCTCAACTAATGAAGCACCAATACCTCCATTACCAATTACACCAAAAAGAAAAGGAGCACCCAAAAAAGATCCATTAGAGAAAAAAACACCAATAATCAAAAAAGAAAAAATCAATCCAAAAAAAGAAGATTTCGAACAATTTTTATCAAAGAACCCAAGCAGCACATTTTTAAATGAATACGAATCACAGGTCGATGCAGAGATTAGGAAGAATAAAACTTTATTGGGAACAGGTGAAAAAGAAAATACAGAGTTTGAACAAATGCAACTATTACAAAATCAAGTTTTTTCAAATGATTTAATTTATAGATACTTGCAGATGAATGGTCAAGCAATAGGCCCAGATACTCCACAATTTCAATCTCCAAGTTTATTTGGTCAGTCAGCAAGCGGATCCAATGGTTTCAGTTTGAATAGTAGTACAGGAGGTATTTCAGGTTTAGCTGAAGATTCATCCAGTTTAAATTTAAAGAAACCAAGAATTTTGAAGAGCGATCATCCAAAGAATAAATTATTCAAAACTTCAAAGAAATTAGAAAAGCTTCACAATCGTTATATTAGATACCATCAACCTGAACCCTCACTTCGTGGCGCTTGGACAATTCATGATGATTATGTTTTGATCGAAAGCCTTCAATTTGCCCACTCATTTGAAGATATTGCAAAATGTAAAGAATTTTCAAAATCATATACAGCAGAAGAAATTGAAAAAAGATGGAAAGCAATGCTTTTGGATCAAGATACAGCAGATGAAGTCTCAGGTATGATGGCATTAAATCCATATAAAGCAAAATCGCCACAGATGACCACAGAAGAAAATCAAGTTTTAATAAATGCACCTGTTAATCTCAGTAGAGCAAACTTTATTAAATTATTACAAGATAATAGAACAGTTTTTCATCATAGTAGAACATCAAAATATCTTCAATCAAATTATAGATCAATGCTATTACATCAAGATGTTACAAAAGTACCAAATTATATAAAATATTTAATTGACCAAAAGAGAAAATTAAACACTAGTGAATACACACAGCATCAAATCA